TTCTGAAACAATTACATGGGAAAACTTTTTACCATGAAAAAATTGAAAGAAAGAAATTTTTAATTAATTACATAGCTATTTTGCTTTTGCTATGAATTATTTTGTAAACTGTGCTTTATAACATTTATTATCTTGTTTATTTTTTATGTTCAAAACACTGTATAATAAGTCGTCAAAACAGAAAGTAATGTTTCTTCATAATATGACAGCAAAAAATATAAATGTTTGATTTTAATGTTATTTCCTAAATATAATTTCAATACATTACCATTAATTTAGTTAAATTTATCAATATTACAATGTTTTAAAAAAAATCGACGAAAAATTCCAAGATCTCCGAATTAAAAATTTTCTATAGAAAGTGATATTAAAATTGCCGAAATACTGATAAGTCACCAAATTTCGAGCCGTTTTATAAAAGAGTTCACATCCACAAAAGCGGAAAGTTGTTTAAGAACTCTTCATTAGAAAAAAATGAAATAATTTTGAAATGCTTATGTTTCATTTCTTGCTCAGAAACTCCAAGTACCCCACCCTTCATATTAGAAATTATAACCCATGAACTTATTCAAAAGATAATCATATTTTTCCATGAATCGCCAAAAATATTCCTCCAAAATGATAATTCACACTCAAAATAGCAGTTGTAAAAACAAGACCGAAATTTCAGATGATTAAAATTAAGGACCTTCTGACGATTTTGGCCAAAATTAAGGACTTTTAAGGACTAAAAATCGATTCAGAAAAATGTAAGGACTTTTAAGGACTTAACCCTGTAAAGGTAATGCTTTCATGTCCCAACACCAAACTTCATTAAGAACATTTTTTGGCAGAAAACTTTTATTACAACCTGACACAAATAAAACATTTTTAATCTGTATAACAAGCAATTAATCTGTATAACAAGCAATGAAAAATATGTCCCCACACCAAACTCCATTAAGATATTTTTTGATGGAAAAATTTCATTACAACCTGACACAAATAAAACATTTTTAATCTGTATAACAAGCAATGAAAAATATGTCAACACATCAAACTTCATTAAGAATATTTTTTGGTGGAAAACTTTCATTACAACCTGACACAAATAAAACATTTTTAATCTGTATAAAAAGCAATAAAAAATATATGTATACCCATAATATGAAGCAATAAATGCAGCACTTTAAGGGCATACATACTTGATTTGACAAAAACTACAATCCTAAAGCTCCAAAAATAGAAAGCAACTTAAAAAAAGGGGGGAAAGAAATATAAGAAACATCTATATCTCTAATATTTTAAAAGTTATCTAATATTTGAAAAATACAAAAGCATTATCAAAAAGGAAAGTACATAAATTTATTAATATACATTTAGCAAACTCTTAGTGCAATCAAATGAAATATATTCTACACACCAGTCAAATAGTTCAAAGCAAAAGTTTACAATAAAGAAATAAATACTGCAAGAAACTATTATTTAATACGCAATCTATAATAATATATTCTATCAGCCAAAATATAAATAACAAATGAAACACAACTAAAGAGAGACTGTTGTACATAGGCAATTGTATGGTGCAATGGTATCTAAAGAGAATAACAATAGTTAATAGCTCAGCTGAATGATGAAATATATGCGTAAGCAAGTTAAGCAAACGGTTTGTTGAAGTCGAGGGTGAGAAAGTCGAAACTCACTAATGTCAGAGGCTGTCATGTCTTCCATAAAACAACAGTATATGGCACAAAAATACATAATGCTGTCCAAAGGAACTGAAGTTAGTGATGCTGATTACAGTCAAAATAAACAGCTAGACTCAAATAACAAAAAACAGCTAGACTGGCACTCAAAATAAACAGCTACACAAAAGACCTTTCAAGTGGCTTGGTGGTAAGGAAGGTAGGACCATCTCCCAGGAGCTCTAGTTCAAAAGCAGAACTGGGCAAAGTTGTACTGTCACCTATATGGTGCTCAAGGCTCATACCAATGGCACACACAATCTTGCACTCCTTGCCAACATAAAATATATGGGCTCGTTCTGATTAGATCAGACAAATGAGATTAGTCAAAAGATTATCAATAATGTATGCAGTGGCACAAGAGAATAAAAACTGGACCACTGAGTACACTAAAAAGGAGGCACTTGTACAATATTAAATGAAATCTTTGTACTTTTGGGACCGAAACAGGAAGCTGAATAGAGTTTGATGATATGCACACCTCTGTCGAACATTTGGTTAATGAGAAGAACTTCCTGTTTTGTCCAGAGATTAATTGTCAGTCAGAACTTTAAAGAAAGGTGTTGCAAAAATCCCCTGCTGCGGTTTCCGGACATACAGGACTTAGTAATTACCCCATTCCAGGTATTTCTGACAAGACATTTAACAAAACAAAAGAGAGGGCCTTTTGTGTGGGTTTTTTATGCAGTGAAAGACTTGGAAGAAGACGCAACCAGCGTTGTGGCTGCATCCAGCGGCCATTGTTTGTATTATGGCTGTAATGGTTTGATTATTTTATTTATTAGTAATCAAGAAATTCCTATTAAGTTTTTAAAATAAATATTTAAAAGACAACTGCTCTTTTCTTTCACTCAACACGGGTGTTCAGACATACAGGACAATGGTCATTCCAGAGATTTTTGGGCAATAATTCTGAGATGAATCACCTGATAATTAAGTATAGCTTAATTATATGAACACTGCCTCTAATTAAGTACAAGCTACTTTGTTCTGTATAGCAGATGCATTCTACCAGTATAAACAATGATTCATGTCATACTCCCCAGACTGTTACAGAATGGTTCACAGAGCATTAGAAACAGTACAAGCTACTGCCTTCCATAATTAGTAACAAACAGAACTATTTCATAACAGCTGAAGGAGGAAAAAGTTAAAATTTTCAAAGACAATAGAGTAAACCTGCACATCGACTTCATTTGGCTTAGTATTTCTATCAATTTCAATAGTTTTTATGTCTAAACAAATGAAATATGTGTTTCTTTAATTATATAATTTAAAAGTATTATTTCTCCCTTGACTTGGATTTTTTATAAGACTTTAATTTTAACAAATAGTTTTGAATGCTGACTAAGAAATGTATGAATCATGTAAACTAATGGTAATCAATAGCAAAAGCAGAAAAATTATTAATAAAAATATAAAAAGAGCAGTTATTCAGTTAACCTTCTCTCATCAATGGAGGGGGAAAAAAAAGGGGGAAGAAATTATATTATGAAAATAGCTTAACTTTAAGGTGGTCTATTACAGCAGCATTACAATACTAAAAATTTGTTTACACGCAGAATCGCTAATTAAGAAACTATGTTGCATGAAATTTGGCAGAAATATAAAGCAATAGGTCAGTTTTCGAATCACAATGTTAGAATCAGGTTTGAAATGAAATTTACTTAAATATTATATTTTAAAAAAATTAGTTTGAAATACGTAATTTTAATGTGTAGTTTGGAAAGCCATCAATAGATGGCGCTATGAGTTAAAATTTAGCTTTGTAATCTTATTTCTGCAAAAATTCACGAAGAAGTAATTGATTTTGATATCAGTTATAAATCATATTTTTTTTTCTAAATAATATTTAGAAGCGTTTCATATATTCCTTTATACACAGTTTTCACTAAACAGTGTCAGCTGTCAGCGGAATGACGTTTACGGCAACCCTATTGCATTGCTATTCCGCACTCGTTTTGTTTACATTTATTTGTACTGTGGTCAGTTAGCAAAAAAAAAATATGCGAAAATATCAAGGACGACCAGAAAAAAAACATCCTGGTTTTAATAAAAGATCCAGAATTCAGCGAAACGTCGAGCTCAAGAAAAAAAAATATGAAATTAAATTCCCGAGATGTGGAAGATTCCGAACAAGCGGATGTTTTCGAAAGGTGAGAAATAATTTATTCTTTATATCGACTACCTCGTGTTTATGATTTCTTAGTAAGTTAATTCCGAAGTAAAATATGCGTATTTTTTTAATTGAAGGTCAGAAATTATTGATACAACTGCATCTATGTCAAAGGAGAATTATTGCCTGGATGATTTTTTTACAAAGGTTTTTTTTTTTTTTTTTTTTTTTTTTGTATGTGTTTGTGTGTGTGTGTGTATGAGGGGATGCTAATAATTGTTCAATTCTTTTATAACAATTTATTCCTCCATTCACACTAAATTGTTGGGAAATATTGAAAGGGTAAATTCCAATTCACAAGGAATTGCTGAAATAATTGAATCTTTTCAAAAGTATGAGCATGTTCTTGCGATCTAAATTGAATTCACCATCATTACATGGTATTATTGGAAATTTTATAGTCATATGTTTGCTACGAAATGCTTTGTCAGTTACCTATGGTATATTTTTACAGGTGTATGCACATTTCATTCATGTGCTCGCTGTTCAACTTGCTTTTTTTATTATGTCATTTACTTGGATGTTAAAACTTTCTTTTAGCGTTGGAACATTTTATGATCATTTAGTAAAATTTATATATAAATATATATTATTGCTTGTTTATTTATGGTTCTGTGTATTTGTCATGTATGCATGTTGTGAAGTGTAGTTTTTGAAAAATATGTCACAAATGGTAAATTCCACCAAAAGCTGAATTGAATTGATATTGGGATGCAGGTAATTAGAAAATATCTGCCGTGTATTTTGAGCGTAAACCATACTAGTGCCAAGAATGGGACCAATACGCTCAGGCTTGCTTAGCCTTTTTGCCATTGTCCAAATTGAATTATCTCTAGTAGAAAGAGAGTGAATGCTTTCTCTGTATAACAATAAAATATCTGTCTGATCAAAAATCTACCAATAAGAAACTTTTCATATGTTATGTGACAGACTTTCTGCAAACAGAAGTCCTCAGCTCTGTTCTTGTACATGTTTTTTAATTGTGGTTCAGATGTGTACTTCTCAAAGGAATTCTTCTCATAGGAAGATTGTCTGAACATTTAAAAACTATATTCTGCTTTTAGGGGCCTAATATTTTAGGCCCCTAAAATTAATATTGAAATTTCTAAAATGTTGAAAAATATGTCATCTGGATTCTGTGCAAAAAATATAATCCCTTTTTCATTTCTGCATTTGCAATTCCTGCATTTTCTTTATTCCTACATTTTTTAATTGGAAGGAATTTCATTCGCAGAGCCCTCTAATTTATTCTTACAAATCATGTAGTAATGTACCATTTTAGATAGATATAAATAACACATTTTGTAATTTTTCTAAACTGTGGTTATACAGCATGATATAATAGCTACACAAGGTATGGCGAAACAGTATACAGCAATATCTGTCGCACTGTCTGAGATGGGTGGTAGTCATACATAGCTTAATGCTTAAATTTGTTATGTGTTATTTATTTATTCATGTTTTTTTTTTAATTATGTTATAGCAGTTTATTTCTTTCATTCTTAGGTCTGGAAGTGAAAAATTTGACTTTTCTACGCCAGAAGTTACAGCTAATGTTCCTAAGACAAACCAGGCTTTCTTGAGGTAAGTTGGTTTATTTCTAAAATAGATATTAGCTGTGCATGATATTGAAACTCTTATAGTTACTTAATTATGGTTAATTAATTATGTATTAATTTAGAAGTCAAGCAACCAAAATCAGCGTTATATTTCAAAATATGATGCTGATTTTTGTTGCTTGACTTCTAAATTAATACTTGGTCGGCGTGTTATTGTATCTTAATTAAACTAATTATGGTTCTTTTCTTCTCAGTTCTGATCTGGACATTTCAGTTATTGACTCTGACGTAGAAGGTAGAAATACAAGCTCTCTTTTGAGGTAAATATGTATTTCTCTATGCCAAAATTAAAATGTCATCATTTATGTTTTTCTTTTATGGTGTTACATTATGTTGTTTACATACTGATAGCTATTAAAACTGTTAAGTATAATATTGTAGCTATCAAAAAGAGGGGGGATGAATTTGATTTGTACCAAATTTGGACGTTTTGCATGAAAGAACTTGAAAATAAAAGATTTTTTAAAAAATATATTCATTGCAATCAGTGAAATTTTCAGACGGGACACTGAAGCAAATGAAAATATTTTGGGGTTCGATTCTTTTGATGGGAGCCTCATCAATAAGCCTACTATCTTTTTTAAATATTGCTTCTTTTTCATTGTTTTCATGATGTTTATTTTCCCTTCACGAAAGAGATTTTTAATAATTTAAATTTTGTTAATAAAATATAACAAAATGAAATCTGTGATTATGTGGCTATTATTTTTTCCATATATATTTATTTGAGGAAAGCCAAAAATTTTATCATTTTACAGAATTTTTAAGAAAAATATAAGGATAAAATTTTTTAAATAATTCTGATTACTACCTTTGCTTTCCTCTCGTAATGTGCCTCAAGTTAGAGCAATTAGAAAATAAATTTAAGTCATGTGATCTTTTTTTTTTTAAGTTTTTTTTTAGGCTTAGGAGTATAAATTGCTTATCCCCACAAGACATTGCATCTTCTTAGTATGCCATCCTAAGGCTCCGTTCAGATGATGGTATAAATGTCATAGACACATAATCATAAGGCATAAAATGTGGGAGTTCCATTCACACCTGCGAGAGAGGGTCTAAGCCATAGCCAATTAGAGAAGCTAAATTTGTGCATGCATGTATGTGTCTACAGCTTTCTCTCTCAATAGGTTTCATGTATATGCTCTGATTGGCCGACTCTTATATCAAGTCGACACAAAGTTGAAAACTTCAAGCTTAATGCCCAAACTAGTTTTTTGTGACATAGCAAGGTCTGACTACGAAGCGTTGTTAGTTGGGAATTATGACATTTATACAACGGCTTGAATAGAGCCTTAGAAAGCCATTTGGTAACTGAGGTATCCACCATGAAAGAGTTATTCTTACCCCTCTGAATTCAGTGTTTACTGGAACACGAACATTTTATACTCAGGTGTAGAGGCTCTTCATGTGAAACCTCCGGCACACAAAGTACTGACTAATATTGCACGAGCAAATGACACTGCGAGCATGGAAGCAGCAGTTGTGAAGATGACTCATCTTCTTGTAGTAATATACAGATAATCCAGTGTATTATTATGTTTAATTTATTTAAAACTGACATTTATTTAGATCTGTGGTATTTTATAAGGCAGTTTATCAATAGCAGGTAGCATCTTGCCTCTTTGCTTTGATCAGGGCCTGTGCAACCAGTGGTAGTCAAAATTTTTAGAATTTAGAGAATAGTGCATAGCAGAATTTTATAATTTAGCAGAGGGCACTGAGCAGCAGAATTTAGAGGCAAAAAAATGTTCAGAACTTACGAAGACATCAGCCAGCAGAATTTAGGATATGCAGAGATTGCACTGAGTGGCAATAGTGCCATATGTTACATTTGCTATCTGCATTATTAATTTGTGAAACAATTTCAGCTGTTTGAAAATGCATTTTTCTGTTAGAAATTTGTATTTCTTGCAATTTCTTTCTTTTTTTTGGGGGGGGGTATGTGATGTACTCTGTTGTCGAGAATATGGTGTTAAAAATATTTTATCATATATATATATATATTTTTTTTTCAGGTGTAAATTTTGTGCATGATTTGGCTTTCATTGAGACGTCTCTGGGTAAGGAGTTACTAAGGAAGAGAAACTTACATGCAGGTTGAAGCATGCAGTGTCAAATGTATAAGGAATATAAAAGATGCTGTATATTAGTATAAGTTTGAATAACCATAATAAAAAAATTTCTTGAAAATTGTGTTTTTTCTGCGAGTTATTAAAATTGGAAATAATTAATTACAATATTTATGAAAATTTTCGAAAATAAAAATACAAGTAGTATTTAAAAAGTACTGCAAAACTCATTTTTAAGTAGAAAAATTATTCTCAGATGAAATCCTTTCGATTATGCAAAAGGACTTTTTTAGTATTTGAAAGGTTCATTTGAACCCAACAACTGAAACTAACGTATCCCAGTTCATTGATACCAACCCCTTTTGAAAGTAGTGTTCATTGATACCAATTTTGTTGGTATCAATGAACCCACTACTTTCTAAAAGCATTTCTGTCAATTACTAAGGGCTAATGAACAGGTGTTGAATTCTCAAGATGAATGTTGCCGAAACAGAAAAAAGTGTACTTCAGAACATTTTGCAGTAGCTCAAACAAAGTCACGGACCTGATCTATACTGTAGTCAGGGAGAGAAATTATTCCCCTTCCTTTTCTTTCAAAAGCTGAGTTTCCAAACGCACAACGGGAGGCCGTTGCTAAAAGCTGTGGAACCAGTTTTATAGCTATTCTTGCAACTTGTGAGCTGTTTTTCAGATAACACAGTAAATCTCGGGGAGGGGGGATTTGAAATCATGATCACTGCCGGTACGGCAGAATTTAGGTACAGCAAAATTGTAAAATTCAGCGAAGCATCAAGCAATAAAATTTTAGAATTTTGGGGGAAGGGCACTTGACAACAGAATTTATTGCGTACAAAGTCAGCAAAATGCATAGCGCCGTACCTGATTCATGATACAGCAGTATTCATTACCAATAGCAAACTTGTTTGAGGATAAGCTCGAAAAAATGTTTTCTAGTTGTTACCTAAAATCGGTAAACAATAATCTTTGAAAGATTATTCGATTATATCGTTACTAATATGGTAAAAAATTTGAAAAGCAATCAGAAGCCGTATCTCTAGGGTCTTTCACGTCACGATTTATTTTTATTTGTTCGAATATGATATTTAGATCTCTCTTCCTACAAGTATGTGTTTTCGTACGTATAAAGTATCAAAAATAATAAAAGTAATTAATAAATTTTCTCTAGTTGCTCTGAAAACTACATCTGAATATAAAGATAAGAAAGACATCAGTAAATTGCTGTTGTTATTTGCTGATCATAATGGTAATCAACCGAACGTGATCACATATACCGTCTTCAAAACTTTGATTTTTATCAAGCTTCATATAAATACTAGGTTTTTGTTAGTCACGTAACTTGGCATCCTAAATTTGAGATGACAGATGAAATAACACTAGTTCTGAATTAGTTCACTCAGGAAGTAAAATTTTCTCCTTCCCGTCAATATAGCATATTTATAGCTCCCAATGATGGCGATCACTAACTAAATATGTTATGGATTAGAAGCCTATTGCACTCCATAAGTTTTTCTTTATTCGCTTTATGTGCATGCATGCTAGGTTGTGGAAGAAATTAAAAAGCCCTTTTTTTTTTACTTAGATTATTCGAATGTATACGCCAGACATTTATTTGTTGAGCTGTAATTATAATTTGGAACGTGGTGCTAGAGCCGTTGGAGCCGAACCGAACGTCAGTTTGTTTAGAATTATAGAGTTTGATTACGCCAAAGCAGGTGAATTTGGAAAACACCAAAATCGGTCATGCATCCAACTCGTTCATCGAGGCTTGAACTCCGGATGAACTACCAGTGTTCGGCGGCTCGCTTGCTAGAATTTAGGGAGGAACTGATTGTTAGAATTGCGTTAGGCTCTTTGAATGTAGCAAAGCCACGAGGGTTACCTTCTTAAGATGGCAGGCTTTCGTGGAGGAATTTTCTGAAGGCTTAGATTAGGTTTATTATGGCAAAGCACAGTAGGATGCCTTCATGTTGAACTTTCTTAGAGAAATTGGCTCCCCATACACGTTACACATGGAGAAAAATTATGAAAACGTCCATGCAGCCGGCCCGTTAGCCTTGATTCGAATCCAGGTCGGAACTACCAGTGTTCAGCGATTTAATTCCTCTACCGCGGGAGGGCCTAATTGCTGAAGGGAACTGGCTTGTATTCATGTTACACACGGGTGAAAACAAACAATGCAACCAGCTGATTCGTCTGGCATCGAACCCAAACCAGTTCGAACTTCCAGTATTCAGTAGTCTTAACCACTCGGCCACTGGTGGCGTGTGGTAGGAGCCACAGATAATGTAGTGAGTAGCAAAAATCCCTAATAGTGGCCCTGGTTACTAGTAGGATTGTAAGTATATTGGTAATCATCCAATCTACAGCAAGGAAATTTCGGAGCTTAATTGTAAAGTCAAATGCGACACTCCGATAAACGTGGTATATGTAGAGATGGAAAAATTTATTATTTAAAATACTTGTATTTATTAGTAAACATTTTATAAAATTTATTCTTAATTTAGCGTTTAAGAATTTTCTAAGAGAAGTTATCTGAGTATTTTTTTCCTCCTCTGGTAATCCAATAATAATTGAGTAAATTTATGTTGCTGTAATATCTTTGCCTGTTATGTACATAGTCTTTTTTTCATTCAAGTTAAACAAAACTGAACGTATGTTACACTGAAATTACTTTGTCTAGAAAGTAAGCGCTTGGATAGAACAGATGTGGGGTTTCATTTTTAGAGGATATGAGATCACTTTCTGTAAAAGTAATGTTATAAAAGTTTGAATTTGAAATTAGCGTACTTTGTTTCCAGTAGCGCAGAATGATAAAGATTTAATAAAAATACAGCAAAGCATCTTTTTAAAAACGCTGTTATAATTTTGCTATTTTATTTTTTGTACGGTAGGTCAAGGAAAAAGGCAGGCTGTTAAATACAGTAACAGCACCTTGCTCTGTTTCATATATAGTGAATCCGTTCTGAAATGAGGCACGAAGCGGTAAAGTAGCTGAACACCAGTAGTTCGGTCCGACTGGCTGCGCTTTCGTGGTTTTACCCTGTGTAACGTGTATAGGAGTCAATTCCCCTTAGAAAGTCTTCCACGAAGGCATCCTTTCCCTTAGGCAGATAGATCGTACCGGTGTTTATGTTATCAACAGTACTGGTTATTTTCAAAAATGATCATCCTAGAAAGGTGATTGCCAAAAAGTATTCACTTCGCTTATTTATACGTTATGCATGAATATACTCTTTTTAGTCAATCTAACATATATAAATTACTAATGCTTCAAAACAAATTCAATTTCAATATTCTGTTTCCTATTTGTTCCTGTTCAATGAAACAAATTCATACACAGCAAATCCAAATGCATCGCTACAGGAAGATGAGATAAACCAGCTCAGTACGTAATTACAGTTGCATCCGGAAAATAGTACATATACATATAAATATAAATATATATATATAATATATATATATATATATATATATAAATATTATCGTTTTTTAGGATGTATCTATAATATGTATAATTTTACTTTACTAAAATATAATATTCAATTTTGTAATTGTAATTTAGGAATTTCTTCCCCCTTATCATGTATTATCAACTTGTACATTACCCCTTCAATTATCAGCTGTATTTTATAAACCTGAAACATAGAAACGCAATTTGATTTTATGCATTTTAGTATCAGTGAAATCTTGAAACTGATTGTTCATTATAATCACTTTATGTTGTTTTCATTCAAAGCGGATCTCAGATAATGTGCCGCAAATTATTTCCACACTAAGTTTTTTGTGCAAATAATACGTCCTGCTAGTGTTTTGTAATAAAAATGCATGTTAGTAATTGATTTCGAATTTTCGTTGCATCTTGATATTGCTGCCAAAGATATTCAATCAAGAATAAGTATCTTTTACTACGTTTATGTGTATGGATGGATACATAGACCATTTCTCCTGTGTACTAGAAAAATTTCATAATGATTTATCCACTTTTGAAGTAAAAAAATAATAGTTAGGAGTGTTATACGATTTTATAATACAAGTAAAAAATATATATAAAGCTCTGGCAAAGTACTTACACATATTTATGGAATATTATGGATGGTAATTTATGAAATATTATGGAATGAGTAAATGGATATTATGTGCATGCTGATATATGTATACACATATCATCAAGTATCAAATCATTTATATATAATTTTTATGTTGCAATGAAATTACCGAAATGCTTAAAAATCTAGTATTTTTAAAAACTATTTTCTTCCGCAGAATAAACGGCAAATTATAAAACATTACGCAACATTGAAAAGCGTGATGAACAAATTTTGCGAAAAGGAAAATAGCGACTGCTGCACGTATCTCACAGATATCTTTCATTCAACACAAAAGTGGAAAAGTTCTATTCCTGTTCAAAACATACCCTGCAGTCTGAGTCACAGACGGAAGAAATGACAGCAGGTCTTTTGTTCAACTGAGGGGAAGTGTTTTATGGCTTACTCACTTTCCTGCCAAATGAGTACAGTAGAAGGGAAGCTTTGTTGCCATAGTAACCAGGCTGTAGGTAGTCTTACAGATTTGAGTCTTTATCGCTCAATGTTCGTAGCGCCATCTGTTATTAAAAATCGACATGAGAAAGGGGTATTAAACACTTTTAAACGAGGCCAATGTCCACTTTAGATTGCCATTAAATTCAAAAAAGGTCTATATATTTTTAATTTAGTACTTCAAGCTTCTTACATAGCTGAAACAAATATATGCAGCTGTATGTATGATATACAACTGTATAAATAATATCTAGTTCAAGGAAAGGAAAAAACTTATGCTGGAAAGCCATATTTAGTAAATAAAACAGCATAATATCACATTTAAAAGAATTTATAATGCACAAAATAATAAATAAATAAAACAACAGAAATGTAATTAACATATAAATATTTATTACTATACACAAAGTAATATCATATTAGCTTGAGCACACATTTTTATTTACATTTTTAAGTTGCAAAATAAGAGTGCAGCCTAAATGCAAAGTGAATATTTTAAAATCTTATTTCTGCCAATTTCCCATTTCTCATGACAGGCTTTTTTTTTTTTTTTAAATGTTGCATTATTATCAATTTAAAAGGTACCGAACATCATGCACTCTGGTGCAACTGTGAAGACGAAAATTCAAGTCCTAAAAATAAAGATATTAAAAGTGATAGAATTTCTGGAAAAGATTCTCCACAAATTAGGTATCTTATTACATTTATATTAAAACTTATTTAAGTTAATAAAATGTTTCTAAATTTTCAATACCTATTAAATCATTTTCATGTTATTAATATTTTTCCAGTTTTAAAATCTTACCACACTTAAATTTAAAGGCAGATTTTTTTTCCAATTTCCCTATATTAAAATTTTACTTTGGATTAAGTATTACGGTAATTTAATAAAAATCATACATTGCTTTTATATATATATATAAATGCTTATATTTTATGTTTAACTATTCTTCAAAAATGTAAAACAGCTTCAATGATTTGCAAGAGATTGCAATTCTGGAAATTCAGAAATCCTCCATTACATGGCAATGCTATAAGAACTTTAGTATCAGGCCTCTTTAGTTAAATATTGCAATTTTACTGATAAAATAGCCATTTTGAAACATATTTCGTCTCTCAATTAGAATATCCCATGAAGTCATGAATTATTGCATTTGTTGTAATATCATGCAATGATTTATTTGTTGCTTTTAAAGATTATTTTATATTTGTTTCCATATATTTTAGTGTATGTTTGTTCCTCATATGAAATGGTTGATCATTCAGTTCTGAGTGTGGCAACATTTAAACTGTAAAAATAGCTTTAGAATGAAGTAACAGCAAATACACTCTTTGGTGAGGAATTCTTTCCAAAGCACGTACTACACCAGTTTTGCACACATTACATTATATAAATACGCTACCTGGCATAGAAAATGCAACACCAAGGAGTTGCCCAAAAATTATACAAATTTCACGGTAGACGCACATTACTAAGTTATGCGAATGATGTGAAATATACCTAGATGTGTATCACTGCCCAAGTTGGTCCTAAACCTACGGAGCCAAAGCTGTTCTCGCTCTGTATTATGCATATCATTTCGAAATAGAGATCACTTATTGTTTGCTGCTGTATCTTTCTGTTTGCCAGTTTCATGAATTTCTTTTTGGTATGGCATTTTCAATTTCGGGTAGTGTAAGAATCCAAAAATCTGGACAATTTGCTGTTGGCTGTTATGCAGCTGTAAGGTTTAACGTTAGTTGAACTGTGATTTGGAGTTTAATTTGTAAACGATTTTGGCAACTGACAATATTTCTCATGCACTAAAGAGGAAGTGTTCACATCCACATTCTCCTTGAGCCATCTGTAGTTATTTATTGTGCTGCATGTTGCTAAGTTTTTAATAATAACTTGCTAGTAACTTCCTGTTTATTTGGAGTCATTATTTAAAGAGATATCAGTGAACCTTAGTTCACTGCAATATCCTATTTTCCTCTGCTAAAATAGCTTTAGAATTCATGCTAACTGTGAAACTATTACATTAATTAGAATAAATATGATAAAAATTTATTGATAGTATAGCAACATATAACTAGCAAAAATTATCGTATAACAAATATATATCATAATATTTGTCTTACATCTGTTATCCACTTATTAAGATAAAATGTTATGCTATCACGTAAGTCTGATGCTTGTGATGATCCAGAACTTGAAATATTTTTTTCTGTTGATGAGCCCTAGAAAAATTATAGAATTAAAAAAAAAAATCAAAAAACATATATATGAAAACTACGCAAATGCTATGAGAAATATAAATGTCTGGTCACCATTCAATTTTTCTTTCAACTGTCAATAGCTCTATTCTGACCAACTTAAAACTGCATCTATAGCACTGTTTGCCTACAGTTTCCTTAAATATGGCATACATTTCAGAGGCTATATTTCAGACTGTTTTGACCAATACTATTACTATTACAATATCTCAAGTAGAATTATTACACGATTATGTTAATTATCAAAAAGAAATTAAGACTTTTCGGTTTTCATCACAAAGAAGAGTTATCATCAGTTAACAGTAAATCACAGTATGACTCTAGTAAATATGCATAAATAAATAAATTATATAACTACAGCTACATAATAGATAAGACATTAATTTAAATAGGTAATTTTAAGGTATTTTTCTGAAAAAAAAATCACCACATGAAAGTGCAAACATTCAACATGGGAGTAAAAATTTCAAATCAATAAACACAATGCACCTCTTACATGCATAACAGAACTTTTTAAACAATGGTTAAGATATTAATCATGAACATTAAAATGCTTTAAAAAATAAAGAAAAGGTTGATTTACTAGAATACAAGGAAATCTATTCTTGAATAATTTGTTGACTATACTTGAACACTACATTTATGATATACATTTTTTCTTAAGATTTCTCATTTGTTATCAGGATAGAACAGCAATAATATGTCAACTATTTAGTTACAAAGTTTGAAATGCTAAATAATGTTGCCTATAAATGGTTCAGCATTAAGAAAGGCAAGGGCTATTAAAACCATGTTATAAATATAACTTACAGTACAAGACTAAAATCATAATAGCTCCAATTAGTTTGACTTGCATAATGAAAAGAAATTATGGTACTTCCTAATTATAATGACCCCCAAGATTGAATTGCTAAATCAACTAAGATATTTTGTTGAAATCTCATCATGTGTTTTTTATCTCACTATATGTTACATTTTTGGTTTTGTCATATGTTCTTTCTTTTACCATGCTACATTTTTGCTCTTGCCTTGTGTCATCATGTTTAATTTTTGCTAAAAATTTCGAAGTTGCATTAGTTTTTTAAAAATATTTCTTGCTTTTTTAAGAATAGGCAGTTAATAATCTTTAATTTACCAAATAAAGAGGTGGATATCATGTTTTCAAGAAAGAGGACTTTTACCTCAAAAACAGGTATGTGAAAAGGGCCACTCAAATCATATCTTTTGGATTTTATGTGGAGTATGTGCATAGGAAAAAATGAGGCTATTCATGAATTGCTGAAAGCAATTTCAGAAATATGGCCTTGTCATATTGATTATTAAAAATGCTTCTTGGAAACAACATGTGAGTATTATTGTTATTATTGTATATTATGTCATTTATTTTTATCTTTGCACTCCATGAGCTGGTGAGATATCTCAGTTGATCACAGATTCAACTTTGGAGGCTGCTATAATAAGAAAATACCAAAATTACTATCTTGCACAGCCACTACAGACAACAACAATTTATGCTGTAAGATCTGACACCGGAAAAGATGTGCGTTGTGGTTTCGTATATACCAATTTCACTTTCCAGCTAAACTTCAGTTGCTGTAGATACAGGTAGTTTGCAATGTACCAGTCATTGTGTAAACAGAAATTAGACATGGTCAATAACCAACACATTCACTGAAGAAGTGGAACACAGTATCCATTTAAAAATTGTATACTGTGTGCCCAATGTGGTCATGCATGGCACTAGGAATGCACTGTCAATTGGAGATGTAATGGTGGCAGTTCAATATGTTGGAAATGCATATATGTAAGTAAGACTTGAATTCTATGACATTATATATCATAATGGCAGGTTCTAAATCAGCATAGATATGAATACTGCAAACTTCACTTCATTTGTTGTTAACGTACTGTCAAGCATTAGATGCAATCATCATGATGATGTCAAGCCATTTAAACCTCTATCTACAACTGAGGCAAGCACTACTAAAACCACATATTTGTGATGTACAGTCAAAAGCAGTTGAAGCAAAAATTCCCTAATGATTAAATGATACCACACCTTCTGTGTAAAAACTGGTTATTGTGCAACCTTAGCTCCTGAGTTAGGATTTCTCATTCTAAAAGTAGGGTTTGTGATAAAATTACAGTTGCTTTCATTAAAGATTAGTGGGCAAACACACTTTCACTGCTTAACAATGGCTCTCTATTCTACCTTATTGTTCTAAGGAAGCATTACTAGCATGCACGATTCGCACCTCTAATTATTTACGTCTTCCCATGATTAACACATCAAGCAGATTTTCTATCAGCCAGATGCATTCTTCCAGAATATTTACGCATGAAAAATAACTTTTAAAAAGTGCTGAATTATTACTGAATAAAAATTTCTTATTGAATTACTTTTTCCACATTTACACTTTTAATGAAATAGGAACAGGATTTTTTAACTTTGATAAATAATAATTTTAAATCAAATTTTAAACAAATAAAAATTATAATTACAGTTTTTCCATCCAAGTTTGAACTTAAATGTTGTTTAATATGGTTCACTAACTCTTTATCAGAATCTGTAAGGATCTGGATTACTTTATTAACAATTTTATTTGAACGCTCATTTGTAACAGCACACAGTCTCAAAATTTTTTCCAACATCATAGCAGCATAACCAAACTCCTGATCTGCACAAAAATTAAAACATAGTTAAAAAAAAAAAAAAAAAAAAAAAAAAATGGAAAGCAAAAATTTTTTTACAACAAAATCTTCAAACTTTAAAAGAAAAGTCTGAGATGCTAAATAACAATGTATACTTATTAATAATACCAGTAAAATTAATTTTGAGCAATGCTTCCAGTAATATTATACATTGAATACATTCCTTGGATAATTATGAATGAAAAGAAATTAATACTGAATTTCAAATGCAACTCACTCAGTTGACACCAACACCATTCAAATAACTTTATTTACAAATTCCTGTTCCCCTCCTTTTTAAATAATAATTTGACAATAAAATGTGAGTATATTTAAGAGACAGTAGAGCAATCTAAGAAAATTTAAATCAGAAGTTTATCAAATTAATATATATATTACGATTAACTAAAAATACCTAGCATTTTTAAAAAATATCAACACTTGCTTCCTGAACAACAACTACAAATTAAGCCCTGCTTTAAATTTGAAAAGAACTTATCATCTTAGGTGTTTATCTTAGGTGAACTTAGGTGTTACCACCACGAGATTACAAGAAAATAGCATGTGTAATTGCCAATTACCTCTCTACCAAAAATATGTCGATCCTTTCCACCAACATGTTATAACAGATCTTAACATCATTGAAGACTTAGAATTGCAAGCCCTTTTACAACTTGGCACCAAATTTCGTCCTACTTTTAGTATCAATAAACATTTTTGCCTCAAACAATTCAATCAAGATCTTGATAAATTTATCATCTTAGTTAGTAATAAATTCAATTTACCTACTACTACTTTTCTTGAACGGAAAGCTGCACTGATTAAAGAATTTCAACATTTACTCTTCAGGACACCTTCTTTCAACTCTCTAAACAATAAGCAACGACTCTTTGATCTAATCAAAAAACTTCAAGATAATTTTATCATTACTAAAATAGACAAAGCTAGCAACAATTTTAGTGTTCTTTGAAAAAAGTTTTACTTCGACCTACTGCACAAAGAACTAAATAGTAATGGCACCTCTATTTGGTGTTGGTGGTAACAAAAAATTACCACCAACACCAAAATTCTAATCAATAAATTTAACGCACTACATAAAAGACTTAAGATACATCCACGGAACTATAATAACAGATTTGCTAATCTCTATGCCCTTCCAAAATTTCATAAGCCACCTATTAAATTCAGGTTCATTGCCAATAGTACCAAAAGTTATCTTAAAGAAATAGATTATCTTTTTGCAAAAAAACTTCGTTTAATACGTGACATGATTAATAACCATGATTTTCAAGATCTGCATTGTAACTGGATGATTTCAAGTAACGAACTCGTAATTAAGACAATTAATTCAATTCAAATAGAGCATATACAATGCTACGATTTCGAAAACCTTTATACTACCTTACCACTTGAAGAAATTTATACCAGCTTACTTGCTCTTCCAGGTATAATTCCACAGATTTCGACAATAATTGATAATGAAAAATGGCAACTTTATCTTATGAGCGTGCTTTTCAATAATTTTATTCTCTTTAACAATAGCATCTTCAAACAAATTCAAGGAATCCCAATGGGAGGAAATTTTTCGATTGCTGTCTGCGAATGATTCCTTTTCACAAGAGAATTGACCTTTGTCTGTTCACTAAACAAAGAACATAAATTTTACCAACAAATATAGCATTACATTGATGATATCATAGCTTTAACAACCATAACAAAATAGAAGCAGCTAATATCTACCCAACTAGCTTAATAGACCTTGACCTAAATATTATTGATTACAATTTTATTAAAGTCTATGACAAGAGGAGAGAATTCACTTTTTCTACACTAAAGTTAACCAACTGGAATTCTAATATTTCCAAAAGAATCATCATTAACACAATTTTTTTCACAGCTACTTAGAATAAAAAGAATATGTAATAACTACAGAACACTTACAAGAAGAAATACTTTACTTCGTCGCAATTTTGAAAAATAACCAATTTCCTCATAAAATAATTAAAAATACCTTAAAAAAAAGCTGGCATTAACCTTACCAATTTTTAGATAATTTGTTTTGGATAATGAAATTTTATGCTTAAAGCCCACGAGAAGGCACAAGGTGGATGGCTGATTCAGATTACCTAATGTAAAAATTGTATAAATGTACAGATTATTCTTCTACATACATTTTCTTTCCTCCTAAGATTTTGGCACAATACATTAATACTATTATGTAATAGTTTAAATTACTTAGAAGGCCAAACTCTACCTTTATTAACAAATCGGGCCTTTTCATTTTTCATAGTAGCTTGACCGCCCTCTAGCTTGAAGAGTGACGACTTTTATTAACAGATGACTTTTTTTCCTATTTACTCTTTCTTTTGTGGCCAAAAATAAGTAATTTTAGCTGAATTAGCCATTTTCACTCATTTTCACTTATTTTTAACAGTTTTGTTCTTCTAACAACTTGACTGACGCCATTTTGAGTTCTTTTCTCGTCTGTCACACACCCTTCTGTAAAAAGGGGGGGGACAAGAATTCCCGCCAACCTACAATCTCAGCCCATTGGCCTCTTCAGATTTTATTGTTTCGCCCAACGACGTCACTAGACGATCAGGAAGGTTGGTTTATTCACGGAGGGGTTTTGCACCCCTTTTCCAAAAAATTTTTCGTATGCGAAGGACGGAACCACTCAGGTCAGTTTTTTTGTTTCTATTGTCTTTGTCTTTTTGGTCCTAATAAGACCCTGCGACGCTTGTTTTCTTACAAATTTAATTATATTTATATGTGTACAGCACCATTCTCTTTATAAAAGTTCCATCTTCTTTAAGGTTTAAAGGACCAGCCTGTACATTGTTGTAACATTTGACTAATAGCAGACCGCTATTTATTTTATTCTTTTATTCTATTTTGATTTTGATTTTAATTTTACATTGCTCGGAGTTGCAATAGCTTTTGACACCTTAATGTGTATTTCAGCGGACGCGTCGGGAAAAAGGAACAGAGCAGTGAAGCTCCTAAAAAGGATTTATTCCAAAAAGATATATTCGGGAATACTAATGTTCTTTTATAAAATTTTTTCGCATTAAACAAGAGCTTCAATGGTCTGTTTCGGCGAAACGCGTAATTGGTATTTAAGCTAGTTCGACAATCAGTTTTTTGAAAAGCCAATTGAGAGTACGAGTGGGTTAATTTACCATTTTCCGCTTATTAATTATAGTATATTATATTGTTACATTTTGTGTCTTCATTTTAATTTTTAATTTAAAATTTTTTTTTTATATATTAGCATTTTTTAATCTATGTTTTTTGTACTTTCCTTATATGTTTTTTCCGTCGATCTATTTTTCATGTGAGTTAACTTTTCACATATCACCAACGGTTAGATTAATTTCTTCGTGCATTAGCAAGAATTCCAGCATTAACTTTGGCTGTTTTTTCACGTGTTTACAGTTTTTTTCCAGTTTTCCAGACAAATTTCTTCTTATTTATGTAATACTGCATTAAAATATTTCGTGGAGCTACAGCTCCTGGTAACTTTTTAGCAAGATCGCTGCAATGTTTCTACCTACTACTATTATTTCATATCTTTTTGCAGCATTATGCACAAAAGTTTTTGAGACCAAATAGGTCTTACGTCTAATTACCAGTTAGCTTTACATTTTCTTTTTCAATTATATATATATATATATATATATAATCACATAAAATTTTGCAATGTTTAGCTTCCATTAAAGTATAAAATATAACACTTCCTAGTATTTTGCAGAGAAAATGATGAGCTTTTTTACCCCTCCCCAAATACCTCTCCCAAATGGCCATGTATATCCTCGAAGATGCATATACATGGCCATTTATATAAGTCAAACAAATGTGTAATATTTTTAGCATATGAATACTATACAGAATCAAACATAGAAGACCCTATGGAAGCTCTACACTGACTGACAGTAGTAAAGCAGCTACGGTAGTTAGCACTGTAGTTGTTTAAAGTATATTAAAGTAGTTATGCAGTTTAAAATTGGAATTTATTTGCCTAGACTAAACTCCCATATAAAAATGTTTCTTATTACTAAATACATGGTATGGCAAAGGTAACACATCGTAAAAAATAACGGATCACATTTCATGGTTTTTTAGGTATCATGATACCACTCCTTTACCAAGAAACTGTGAATCAAATAAAATGTAGCATACCATAGCACTAAATTTAAAACTAAAAATATGAAGACATACGTTATTAGCAAAACTCATTTAAAGAAAAGGTAAATGAAAAAATTAACAAACATACTAAATGATAATATTTTCCCCCTGAGTCATTATTTTGATTTATAAAAAGATGATGATGAAGATAAAAAGAAAAAAGATATGGGGAAATCTTCACATGCATCAAACAGGGTTCGTACACATTTTTGCACATGGAAAATAAGTACTTTTAAGGACCATTAATGAAAAAAATTAAGGACCTATGAACAAATGAAGAACTGAATAAATTCAGTTAAAGGTATTTCACGTTGTACTTCCCTTTTGTAATAACATCCTAAAAATAAAATAAATCCGTAGGATGAATTATTATCAAACATGAATTAATTAACATAATCATTAATGAGCTTGAGAATAAAATAAACTTTATGAAATTTATCACGTAACATTAAATATTTTACAAGTCAGAAAAATTTGAAAGAAAGTAAATGACATTTTATTTAGGTTTTACTAATTGTTAACTTTATGCTGATTTTTTTTATGTCTCATTTTGTCTCATACTTGCTCAATCTAGAAGCTTAGTAAATAGGTGTCGTAGCTTCGTGTAGCGCTTCAGGGTTTCTAACCCAGTTAATATACTTTAAGGTTCCAATAAGCCACTAAAGCACCAGAGGTGATAAGTGTTTTTGTATTAAGTCTCACTAGATGTGAAGAATAAGTTTTGCATGAATTCTTACATTTTTGTATTTTATCTTGTGTCCACGATAAGGATTAATGAAAGGCAATAACTCGCTTTAATATGCAGAGATAATTTTTAAGGGTAAGCAGTTAGTTATAAATAATTAAATTAGGTAGTTAGATAACCTCAGTCATTATGGATTTACATGGACACTATTAAATTTTACTTTTTTTAACAATAATTGTTAAAAAACCCCTATTAAAATCACAATCTAATAAAATTTCACAGTTAAAATACATGTAATTTATGACACTGATTCTTAAACAATATTAGGATAATTACACATTCAAAGCTATAAAATATTTATGTTTTGTAGCAACAACACTCAAAACAATACTTATGCATCTTTTTAATTTGAAGCCTTCCCAGACATTTGGGCTAATTTATATAGGTTCTCTTCTCTTTAAGCATCTTTCCTAGATTCTTCCTTTCAAATTTTGAAATTTAGGTTCATTCCAAATAACATGCACCCATTTTTTATGATTTAGTTTTAAAATTTGTATTTTAAAATGATTTTTATATATTTTTCGAAAAATATTTGAATTATGATATATAAAATTTTTAACATCATCTTAAAGTAGATGCAATTCTAGGCACATTTTTATGCTAACAACATCAGTTACAACTCCTGGTGGTCAAATTCAAACTAAAAATGTGGACTAGTAGTCAAAACCTATATAATTTAATTTTAATTTAAGCTGGCAGTAATTCTATCGTCATAACAAATTCAAATGTCAGCAGCGATAATGCAAAGAGGAATAATTAAAAACTTTCAGAATTGGCAGGAACTAATGCAGCGAGCAAGCGGAGGTCAGAAACACACTCTGCCTTAGACTCCAAAAACCTCAGTTTAAAACTGTCTAAATGATTTGTATTCTAGTAAGGAAATAGAAATGAGAAATTATAGTAAATGCTGAAATTATAAACAAATGGGCAATTTACATAATAAAAACTGAACATATTCTTTCTCTTCATGTATTTTCTTTCTTCAACACATTTCCTTTTCATTTTAGAATTTTTGCATTTAATTGAAGATTTTTTCAATTCTAAAAATCTAAATGCATTTACAATGTATAGAAAAAGGTGCTAATTCTATTTCTTTGGTAATATGAAGATTCAGAAGAAATATGAAATATATATGGTAAGGCCCGGTTACAGAGCTGGTGTGACAAAATTTTTAGAATTTAGTGACACACCGAGCAACAAAAAATCTAGAAATGGTAAAACGTTTAGAATTTAGAGCAGACATTGGAAGCAGAAGAATTAAGACACATTACATGAATCGTTTAAATAATCAGTTTTCAATTTCTTTATTAATAAAAAATTCCTTTCTATAATGCCTGTCCATGTGATAAGATTAGAAGCATTTTTGATATTTTCCATGCTTGTGTCTAGTGAAAAATAGGGAAAATAAAGGGAAGAAAAACATGTTAAGAAAAAAGATTCTAGTATCAGAAGTAAAACATTCAAATATTATGTTTTCACTGTTCTTCCAAAAATTCTCCAAAAAGTAAAAGTTCACCGCAAACTTTCTATATTGTACATCCATTACGTGTTAATGAAGACATTAACCATGAAGACATTTTTCTGGAATCTTCTATATTGAATCTATAAATCTTGCTTTCAAATCCTTCTAAACCTTCCAAGCCGCAATGTGTAGAATCCTAAAGTAAAATTACCCTTACCAATTCTGTAATAGCAAAAAGCCAGAAATATTTTTTTTTTGAAAAAAAAAAAAAAAATAAATAATAAATAAAAATTGGAGGGGAAAAACTGTAAAATTAATTTTATACAGAAAATGGATGCATACTCTGAGAACTCTGAGGCAATTACATGGGTAAAACTCTTATGAAAAAATTAAAAAGAAAACATTTATTATTATTACATATTATTTTGCTTTTGTAAAGAACTGTTTCATAAATTGTGCTTTACAGTATTATACCTCGTTTATTTTTCAAATTCAAAATATTGTATAATAAGTAACCACTGTAAACTGTCATAACATGACAGCAAAAAATAAAAAATATTTAATTTAATGCTATTTTTTAAATATAATTTCAATATATGTGTAGAAATTTATCAATATTACAATGTTTTAAAAATTTGTTGAAAAATTCCCAGATCTCGGAATTAAAAATTTTCTGTAGAAACTGAACTTAATATCACCAAATTTAGAACCGTTTAATAAAAGAATTCATATCTCCAAAAGTGAAAAGTTGTTTAAGAGCTCTTCATTAAAAAAAATGAAATAATTTCAAAATGCTAATGTTTCACTTCTTACTCGAAAACTGAAGTATTCCACCATTTATAGGAACAAATTATATCACATGAAATTATTCACCCATTCAAAAGATAACCATAGTTCTTAGTGAATTGCCAAACATCTTCTTCCAAAACGCTAATTCACACTCAAAATGGCAGTCGTAAAAACAGGCAAATTTCAGATGATTAAAATTAAGGACCTTCTGCCAACTTTGGCTGAAATTAAGGACAAAAATTGGTTCCAGAAAAACTAAGGACTCTTAAGGACCATACAAAACCTGATCAAAGAAGCACGGAATTCTTCCTTCAGATTAGTAATTTTTATAGATTCAGATTAGATTAGTAAGTAAAAATTATTCTAGATGGATAATTCTGAATAAATAAAAGCATCATCACATTATACAATTACTTCAAGGAAAATTTACATCACTAAAAATGTAGCAATATGCTTACAACTAAAGACAAATTTTTATATGCTTCTACATGCTTAAGTACATTTTTTAAAGTTTTTATTTAAGAATTCCATGGCAAAATAATTTTTGATTCCAGACAAGTGAAAAAATATGCATAAATAAAAACTTTTATCTGTTACTCTCTACAATAAAAACAAAAAATAAAAATTAAAAAAAATCCAAAACATAGATAATACAAAAGGAAAGAATATAAATCAAAAATGCAATTTCAAGTATTATTCCTAAGTACCTATACAATTAATAAGTGAAAAGAACTGAACTTACCTGAAGTTCTCTGGTTACTTTTCAAAAAAACATGTTGCAAAACAGCAGCATAAAATACATAATAAGGCTGAAACTTCTTGCCATATGTATCACAAACACTCAAAATAGCAACAGTTGAAGAAATATTATTTTCTGAATCCAAAGTTTTTAGTCCTTTTGTTTCTTTATAAATCTGAAATATACACAAAAATACATAAAATATTGAAATGAAATATCTACAGTTGAAAATCCACAGAAATAGAACCACATCTACAAACTTTTGGGACTGAATTTTTCTAACCAATTGAAGTTAAATTTTCCAAATAATAACTAGTAACAAAGGTTATTAAACAGGCTTTCATTAATATTTTCCATGTAAAATGGATATAAAGACAACAAACAAGAAGATAATAACAGTTTTGACTAATGAAAATCAATAAAGACTGGATTGAAATGGTTGAGAATAATTTTTTATTCAAATATTGGTGTTTTCAATTTTTTTTCTTTAAGTTTTATTGCTGTTCATTAATTTTTTAAATCTTGCAGATATACTGTATATTAATCTTAGTTATTACCTTTGTCACTGTTGAAGATATGGTTCTTGAATCCTTTGAAAATTCCTGAGACAAGTGCTGTTTGATGTACAGCTGAACAAACCTATCATGAATTTTTTGAGAATTTCTGCCAAATAATAAATAAAAATTAAATAAATAAATAAAAAATTAAATGACATATATCATTAAAAGTTAAAAAATAATATATTTATTTTACATACATTTATTATTGCATTACAGATAAGAGAAAATTATACTGATTGTAAACTAAATACTTAAATTATGAATCAAAAGCTTTTGTTTACATTTCTCCTCTATTTTAAATAACTACCATTTAATTTTTTCTCTCATTAATCTTTAAAATTAATAAAATCTTTAAATTAGTCCACATATTCTTACATTAGAAAGAGTAAATAACTTCACCAGAAAATAAACTAAAGAAGCATCTATTGATATTTCTAGGTTTAACAATGCAAATCTTTTTTATTATTACAGTAATGAATGAATAAACTCTAACCTTTTGTTGCAAGTTAAATAATTAAATCATTCATACTACTGCAAAAACATCTTTAAATTTAAATCAAGTAACATATCCATGTAGTTTTTTAGTTGATTACAAATCAAATCTATAAGAACGGCCCACCAGCGGCTGAGCGGTAAAGTCGCTGAACACTGGTAGTTCGGTCCGAGGTTCGAATCCCGCGAACGGGCTGGCTGCATGGACGTTTTCGTGGTTTTCCCCATGTGTAACGTGTATACAAGCCAGTTTCCCTTAGAAAGTCCTCCACGAAAGGCATCCCTCCCCTTAGGCAGATAGCCCTAGTGTGCTTTGCCGTATTCTCAATACACACACACACACATCTATAAGAACGTGTGCCTTCAAGGAGGACTTTTTGAGAAACACTGGCTCATATTCATAAAATCTGGAAAAGAACATGAACATGCTACATAACTAACCTGTTCACAAAAAAAAAAAAAAAAAAAAAAAAAAAAAAAAAAAAAAAAAAAAAAAAAAGAATGCAGAGATATATACTAATGCAACACAGATATACACATACACTAATGTAAAAATATATATATACTCTATAAGAAGTCTAAAGAAAACTAGCCAAATACCTATGATTGAATTTAGTTCCAAAAGCAACTATTCTTAAGTTTAAATAAAGTAAGTTAAATAAAAAGAATAGTTGTATTTTCATTTATAAAATGTAAAACATCAGTTATTTTGTAATAAATTTGCATTCTGCAAATAAAAAAAAAACAATGGTATGTTAAAAAAAAAAAAAAAAAAAAAAAAACTTTAGTTATTTCCAAGACAAACTAAAATTTTGGAAATATATTATGATACTCATTAAAATGCTTGATTATCTGAACTGAATAGCTTGAATTATGAGATATGCTGACATGCATATAGCTAGATACTGCAACTACTATGGACTCAAAAACAGCATTGTCATTATAGCAGGATCAATAAAAAAGTGCTCACTATATGAGCATGGAAAAAATTCACACATAATTTCAATACTGCATTTAACTGCAGCAAGTGCAAAATGCAAATGATATGATGTATCACTCATTTATCTGTGCTTTAAATTTCAAAAAAGTACCTATATAAAAATGGAATATGTTTTTAATAACCCTGTATAGATGCCAGTACAAAAATTTTTTTAAATAATTCAATACTGTCTTTTAAGTTTTGCTTTTAAGAAGTATTTAAAACCTAACATTGTACAGAAAATGTTTACAAATTTTTAGAACAGTTTTGACAAAGAATTTAAAAAAAAAGGGAAGTGGCAAATGATTTGGAATAAAAATTTCTCATGATAACTTATTATTTGAATTGAGAAATACTATTTGTTACTTTTAAATTTATTCTTATTTCAAAATGTCACATGTAAACCAACTGTGAATTGAAGTGCATGTTTGTGCACTTTTCAAACAGAAATATTAACAATAATATTTCTATTATTATATATTAATAAATTAATATATAATATTAACAATAATATTAATATTATATATTAATAATAATATTTCTGTTTGGAAAAATAATTAAAAAAACATGAAAGGCATTAAAATTTTTAAGTGTAAAATAAACAATACAATTAACTGAAAAGGAAGAAAACCATCAATCACTCTACCTACATTGAAAATTAACTCCAAATGAATATACAAAAAAGGTATGTTCTGTTTCTAATGCTGCTGAAGCTAAATCATTCACTGATAATGACAGAAAAGCCACAGATGCAGAAATCAATTGCAAAGTCTTTAAATACATCTATAGCAACAACAAATAAAATAATAAATTAAGATTTACAATTTGAAAAAGGCTAAGAAGCAAAATGATCACTAGGTTTTGAAAGGCATAGTATTAAAATTTATAAGTGCAAATTAAACAATATTATTAACTGAAAAGGGAAAAAAAAAAAAAAAAAAAAAAAAAAAAAAAAAAAAAAAAAAACCATCAGTCACTATACCTACATTGAAAATTATCTCCAAATAAATCCACAGATGCAGAAATCAATTTTTAAATATATCTATAGCAACAACAAATAAAATAACAAATTATGATTTACAACTTCTAAAGGCCAAGAAGCAAAATGATCACTAGGTTCTGATGAGGCATGTGACTCACAGAACTCTGCATGAAAACTATTTAGCAGGAGGTAAATGGAAATACATTGCAACCTTGATGAAGCATAAGTTTATCTAAAAACTGCAACCAAGAAAGGTCTATTTATTATGGAAAATGAAGAGAAAAATATGTACAAACTAGGTTCCATCAATATAAAGAAAGTTTCAGTAAGGGGTTTGTCTCAGGATTCTCTTACAGTGAGAAAATAACAATAAGAGTTGAAAAAAATGTTAAAAACTTATCAAGAGAAAGTTTATTAAAACTTATCAGGAGATATTTGCAGAAAAAATTCCATTTCTTTATCTCTATGATTTTCAAAGAGTAAAACTTTATCGAGACAAAGCCAACAAGTCACACTTTGAAAAATACCATTGCATTCCTAGAAAAATTGAAGACTGATGCCAAAACCATCGACAAATTAGTCGAAAATGAGTTGCCAAAACCATCGCCAGCTTGGTCACATCTCATCAATTTAGTGACATAGCAATTTATCTTAATGTTAAATAGACTTGCCCCTCTAATTTTATTCTTCTGGTAGAGCTTTGTCTCTTCAGACTTTTCATATCACATTATATAAAAGATTCTATAATTCCACATATAATTTTCTAAAATTACTTACATATAAACAAAATTCGTAAGAATATTTAGTCTGATTGTTAGAAGTTGTATTTGTAGAAACAATAGTTTTTCAGAAAAAGATCAGAGGTATATGCTTAGTTACCTAATCAGGGAAGCTGTTCGTTTTCCCTTTCCATTTTTCAGTTTGCTGTCCCATTTAAAAAGGAAATCAGTAAAAATACACAGGCTACTTACACACTTTTAGAATAATTCTAATAAAGAATTAAAAAAAGCAACTGTTATGAAATAAGAATTTATGACAACTGCTTATTATTTGAAATGAGGAATATCAACTGCTACTTTTATTCTTCTTTTAAAATGTTGCAAGTAAACAAGCTATGGATTGAAAGATAAGTGTTTGTGCTTTCCCAAGAGAAATATTCCTGTTCCATAACTCAGAAATGTTGCAAAATGTATAGTATTAATGTTTTTAAATGCAAAATAAGCATTATTATTATTCAAAAAAGAAAAACCACCAACACGGAAAGGCATGGACAACATTTACACGGAGAGAAGCTTCAAACGAATACCTAAAAAAGTTATGTACTGTTTCTAATGTTTTTAAAGTTAAATCATTGATAACAAGAGAAAATTTGCCGATGTAGATATCAACTGCAAGTCTTTAAATACATCTGTAGCAACAATAAAATACTAAACCATAATTTACAACTAAAGAAAAACTAAAAAAAAAAAAAAAAAAAAAAAAAAAAAAAAAACAAAAAAAAAAAAAAAAAAAAAAAAAAAAAAAAAAAAAAAAAAAAAAAAAAGAAAAAAAAAAAAAAAAAAAAAAAAAAAAAAAAAAAAAAAAAAAAAAAAAAAAAAGAAAATTCTGCCAGCTTCTGCTGAGGCATGTGGTTCAATGAAGAAAAATTCTTAGAACCCTACATGAAAACACTTCTCAAAATCGTTCTAAAAATGTGTAAACACCTTCTGTATATGCTGTTCTAAATTCATCACAAAGTGGTAATACAAAATCATAAACCCTTCTTAATTTAATAAAATATTTTTGAAAATAATAGCTTGATGCTCAAAACTATTACTAACTTTAATAAACTTCCAATAAAGGATTTCTAAACACTAAAACAATTTTTGTAATTGATTAGAAATTAACACAAAAATAAATTCACATTAAAAAATATTAGAAGTGGTATGAATGATAATTCAAAGAATTAAAACAAATTTTTGTTATGTTACTAAGCAAAGTAGCACACTTTTTTTGTTTTGGCTTTTCCTTATATGAAATGCAAGCTGGCCAAATTGAAGCCCTCAAGTAATCCGATAACACAACAACTTGACTACGAAGTTCAGGCATCAGACTTTCAATTACATCAGGATCAGCAGAGAGAAGTTCAGACAAATATTTTTCATGTAAATCCCCTTTTTGTTTTCTCTTTGATTTTCCCTATTATAAAAAGCACATTGTAAAAACTGCAGTATGCTATTTTAATTACATTAAAATTTCCTATTAAATTTTTGTTAAATAAAAGAATAAATGCTATGAGGAAATAATACATTAATAAATAATACAAACATTTGTTTCCTATACTTATTAATGAGATTGAATTATAAATAAGAATAAAAACTGAGGCCTAAAAAAATTGAATTAAAAGATTTATGCGAAAAGGTTTTTTACACAATACAATTTTTTAGACCAATAAACTAATATTCCAGAAAGTTAAGTACAGTTTTTATTTTGCATGCTTTAATCCATAAAAACTGCAATTTTTCCATATAATTTATAGCCATGAACGTATATGACATATATGTAACTTTTAAACTGGTATAATGTACGAGAAAAACTATAAATAAAGAAAACTTACTTATAACTGCAAGTGACTATACATTTAAATTTTTTAAGTTTAGAGAATATTTAACTGATGTAAATTTGCTTTAGGCAGGTCATATAAAAATTTTAATTCTATACAGTTCTGAATTTATTTCCATAAAACTTTTAAGAACAACAAACCTATGTCCATTCATGACCAACTTCTGTTAGCAAGATGTAACAATTTCATTCTTACTAGCCCAGCATCACCTCTACACTAAGCTTTAATAAACTATTACTAGCTTTAATAAACTTCCTATAAAGGATTTCTAAACACTAAAACAATTTTTGTAATTGATTAGAATTTAACACAAAAATAAATTCACATTACAAGATATTAGAAGTGGTATGAATGATAATTCAAAGAATTAAAACATATTTTTGCTATGTTACTAAGCAAAGTAGCACACTTTTTTTGTTTTGGTTTTTCCTTATATGAAATGCAAGCTGGCCAAATTTAAGCCCTCAAGTAATCTGATAACACAACAACTTGACTATGACGTTCAGGCATCAGACTTTTAAATACATCAGGATCAGCAGAGAGAATTAAATTGAATTAAAAGATTTATGAGAAATAAAAAAGGTTTTCTACACAATACAATTTTTTAGACCAATAAACTAATATCCCAGAAAGTTAAGTACAGTTTTTATTTTGTATGCTTTAATCCATAAAACCTGCATTTTTTCCATATTATTTATAGCCATGAAAGTACATGACATATACGTAATTTTAAACTGGTATAATGTACGAGAAAAACTATAAATATCATCCAATCAATCTCTTCACGCTAGTATCGCATACACGTAATTTGAAAATCGAACAGTTTATTTGAATTTTTAAAAGCCAATAGATGGCACTAAATTGTAACAGATTTTTCACATCGGTTGAGTCATATAGCCTTTTGACCTCCATGTATGGCATCAGTTTCAGTTCTGCACTTCTGGTTTTGATAGATTTATTGGTGTAAACAAATTGGGAATCACAGCTCTTTAAGTTAGAGGCATACCAATGCTTTGTTTATTTATTTATTATTATTATTTGTTGCTGTTGCTTTTGTTTTTGTTCTTTGCTTTTTCTCGTTATTAGGATATAGGAAAGTGCATCCAGCTCAATGTTTTCATTTATGTTACTTGCTTTTTTTTTTTTTTTTTTTTTTTTTTTTTTTTTAGGAGAATGTGGGAAAATGCATCTAGCTGACTATAGCACGTGCAACGTCGTCGCCAAGCTTCCATGATGGGAAAACTCAGACCAGTTGTCCTTTTTTATTTTTATCTTAAAACTTAATATAGGCTTTCTAGGTTAATTAAAAAGTAATATTACAGCATTATTACAGAGAGGGAAAGACATCAGATTTCATGATGCGTGATGCATCTTACTCACTCGGTATGTCTCAGAAAAAAGCTGTCCTTGTCAGGTGTGTCGATCCTTGTTTTGAATTATTCCACACACAGCAGAATTTTTAAATTGGAATTTAATTACCTACAGATAATTATTGCTTTTTCTAAATTTTGTATTTTTAATTCTGTTTTCATGTGTATAGTTATAATTTTAGTATTTTGCATGTTTCATTTATTTCTATTAATATTATACTCTTTATATTAATACACATTAAGAACTAATATATTAAATACATAACTTCAAAAACTGAGGTCATTATATTAAAATGATTTTTTATGAATATTTTTTGTAAAATTAAGTTTAAATGCTGAAAATGTGTGGGCTGCTGGTCCTCAAGGGTTTTATGTATATACTACGAATAAAATTAAATTTTCATTTTTATCATTTAAATTGTGAAATTTAACATTTGTCACCAGAAAAAAAGAGCTGAAAGCTTAATTCACTTCAGTTACTTTAATTCAAAATTAAATCAAACTACTTAAACACAAAATATAAATGATTAATCTCTTGCTTTAAAGAAAAATAATTTTATTCTAAAAAAAGGGGGGGAGAAATTTAAAAAATACTTGAATGAATACAATATGCAAAAAACTGGAGCTTTTCCTTTTTTTTTTTCTTTTAAAGCTTAGCAGGAAGTTTTATTTCATAAAATTCTAGAAACCTTAAATGTTGAAAATAACAACTTACTTCTGATAACTGCTCTTGAAAATCAGAATCAATTACATTTTGCACATCTTGAGAAAATGCTGCAAGATCAGACTGAATTTTAATATCACTTTTAGGTCCCTTTGGTGCTAAAGTACCATCAATGACAGATGAAACAAAGGTTTTCATTTCTTTAATCTTCTTCTCTTTTTCTTCAGTTCTTATATTATCCTAAAATTAAATCCGATTTCAGGTTTTTAATTTAAAACAAAAGAAAGAAATGTTATTAAATTTGCATAGCACATATATTTTGTATTGTTGTTTCATATTAATGCCAGTTATTACAATTCTGCCCTTTTATGCATTTAATTGATAATACAGTTTTTCAGCAGTTCATTCAAAATATAACTTAACATTAAAAAACAAATACTTTACTGAAAGAATTACACATCTATTACAATTTCTAGATACCTTTATCATAAACATACAAAAAGATCGGAGTAATAATTAAGACAATATGATATAGGTAATCTCTTCCTTTCAAAAAATAGTTATTGATAACTGAGAAGTCCTCAGAGAGAAAAAAGCTACTTTTAGATAGAATTTAAAAAGTATAAATTGTAGTCACATTTAAAACTTTCTAAATAACAAATAATTTAATTTTTTTATTATGTTATCATTTATGCATTTAAAAATATGAAATGAAAGACTAACATACTAATAAAAGCTTTTAAAATGTGCACTGAAGTAAGACTTTTTTGAAACAATGAAATATTAAACCATTTTAGTTATGATAGTTTACACCTTATTTCTGACTGTTAAAGATTATTTATTATTAATACTAGCTTCACTCCCAAATGCTTCATTATAACCTAGATAAATAGAATGAGAAAAATCACTCAGTTTGGCCCAGTTGCAAACTATGCAGCAATATTTTCTCATATGCATATTCAAATAAAAAAAACTCATAAAGAGAATGAAAGTAGAAAAATAACAAAAGAAAAAAGAATGAAAACATTGATTCCTCTTTATAATTCTTTAATATACAAGGATTTGAAATTGATAAGCATTCTGAATATGAAATATAAATTTTTTGAGCACAAAACACTAATTTTGTAATTTCATAATTAAACAGATTTGATGAAAGTTTGTGCTTATTATCAGAAAATTTAATCCGTTCAAGATGAAAGGCAACAGTGTGCACATGCTACTGGCTGTTTCTTTCATGAGCATCTCCCCAGGACTGGAGGGATTTTTGCTACTAAGCTTAAAACCACAAAATTATGGAAAGATGAATGTTTTATTTAATAACGTTCTGTAGAGTACACATATGCCCTATCTGCTTTATATATCGAGTTTTAATGATAGTTTCCCCCACCGCAAATATCGTCTATGCAAACAGTTCGCAGTCGCATGTTTAATCATATATTATCAAACCATTTTTGGTATTTGAATGAAAGAGACTTGCTTTAGAATACTGTGTTGTGAAGTTTGTAAAAAAATATCATTAAGGTGTCTGAAATGGAATAATCACGCTACAGATTAGAATCATTATTTCCTTACAGTTCTGGGAGAACTTGTGGAAGAAGATCAGTATGCAACCACTCAAGAACTTACTAAGGAGTTAAAACGTTAGCGCCATGTCCATTAGTTGTGCTATGCATTGTATAAACTTGACACACAAGTTCAATCACTAGATAACATATGAGCTAACTCAAACAGATAATGACTGATGTGTTCAGGCCTGCACTAATCTGCTGGAATATCAATGCAAGGACAAAATCCTGGATCAGATTTTTCACTTGTGATGAAAAGTGGATTTACTTACACAACATAGGCCAAAAAGTAGGTTTGTCTGCACCTGGTAAGTTTGTCAGCAGCATTGCAAGGCACAATTTGACTGACAAAAAAAAAAAAAAAAAAAAAAAAAAAATCATGCTTTGTATTTGGTGGATTTTCCGTGGTATTATCAACTAAGAGTATCTTGAAAAAGGTAAAAACCCTCAACAGTAAGGTATACAGTGAGATGTTAGTCCATGTTGATGCTGCTATCAAGGGAAAAAGTCAATCTGACTTCCAGCACAAAAGTAAATTTTCCATCACGATAATGCAAGACCACATGTGTCTGCACTCACTGGTTAGACTCTGTAAGGACTCAAACGGAATATTTTGCCACATCCACCATATAGCCCCAGCACTGCTCTTTTGGACTTATACCTTTTTTCTCACCTGCAGCTAAAATTTGCTGGTGTCATCTTTCATTCTGCACAGGACGTCCAAAATGAGGTTGATCAGTTTTTAGGCTTGTGGTCACCAAGTTTCTGGGCTGAAGACTTTGAAAAACTATCAAAATGTTGGCGGAAAATCATAGATTTGGTGGTGATTACTATCCACCCTAAAGGTACTGCTTTCACGTTCCCCCTCCCAATTTTATTAAGAACGTTTTCTGGTGGAAAACTTTTGTTACCAGATATATATATATATATCTATTTATATACTTCATATACTTAAGTTTTTCTGGTTCAAATATTTTTATTTTGCATAATATTTATTTATTTTTTTTAGTATTTACTACATATTAGTAATTTTTGACATTATACATTTGACTTAAAATTCATTTTTAATGTGATAAACTTTCAAGTAGAGTTCTATATACAGTCCTATGTTGCAAACCTTGCATTCATAATCATCAGCATTGTTTGGAGGATCTTATAAGCATTTTTGCAAGATTGTGAACAAACATAGCATCACCATCACATTCTTTTGAAACTTCATTTGAGGAAAGCACTTTCCATCTATCTTTGAAAGCAGTTAAGTTTATGTTCTTTTTCTGCAAAACCAACATCTCACAATTTTTTATTTTGGAAGGCAAAAAACTTTCAATCATTCTATTGTCCTCTTCAGTACAGACAAGCATTTATCCCAAATCTAAAGTGTTCACCTGCCAATGATGGAGACATGAAAAAATTATCAATATATGAACAGTACCTTGACTAGAAAGTTCTTCAAGTGGAGATTTAACAACTCTTTCCCATATAATCCTGATGTTTCTTTTAACATATAAACGATAAAATTACAATTAAATACGACTTAGATTCATATAATTTGTTACAAATATTTTACCTTCAACACAGTCACACTCAAAACAGAAATATTTTATGTGCACAAAGTATAATTCTCAATTAGAAACTGGACTGCAAATCCAAACACCTAATACTATAGAAAAAAAAGGAAAAGGAAAGGAGAAAAGGGAAAGAAGAAAAACTCAGGATAACATTCATCAATAAATATTACTTGCACATTTAAAGAAACACCAACGCTCTAGCAAAAAGAAAGAAAAAAAAAATTTCCCATAACATTTATACAGTCAAAAGTCGTTAATCCGGACTCGTCGGGACTTCGCCGATTCCGGATTATAGATCATCAGTTTAAATCTGGTAAGATGGCATGCAGAAATTACAAAATTAAAAATATGAAACCATAATTTATGAAATACAGAACAATTATGATCTAAAGGATATCAAAATTCACAAAAAGAAAAAGCTTAATATTTATTTGTTTACTTTATTAAACATTTCTTTCAATGTAAGTTGTTTAAGATGCTTCGTTTCATGTGATAATACTTTCTCTTTAATTCTATTAAACAGACATAATTTCTTGTTTAGTTACAAAGTTCCGCTGTTGAAGTCCTATAATTACTGCGTTGAGAATACCGACTAATTTGTCAATCGAAATATTTTCGTTTTCAATAACCTCTGGGTCACTTTCTTTACTATCGGAAGCGAATTATAATGACGAGGAACTTGATTTAAATCATATCAAAGACGGAGTACATCGAGATGAAATACTACATTTAGTAAGGAATTATAAGCTAAATAAAATAAAAATATCTGCCCTGAAGATAAGGATAGTGCTGACAGATCAACTTCCAATTCATTGTGCGCTGCAGCGTGAAATTGATAAACAGATTTCGGATTTCGAAACATACTTTTGCTTTGTAGATCTTTTACATATTATTTAAATATATATCGGAAATTCTATTTGACATAATCGAAAGTTCAAGCTTACTTTTATAAAATTGCTCTAACAGTCTGCAAAAAATAATAAGCCGGATCCAATTCGAAGATTAAGGAACAACGCAATCTGCAACATTAACTGAATTAGATAATTTTAGCTTAGTTTATACCGTCCATTACACATTAACCCTTTGTGACATGCATATTTAAAATATATTTTAATCTTTAAAAAAATGCCTTAGATAAAATAAAAAGTCAGATGGACTTACTTAAGTGCCTTTAAGGCTTGAAAACAATTCTGCGCTTTTATTTTTTACGGTGGAAGGTGGGATACTATTTGTCCCACCATGCAACTAGCACATGTCTTATAGCATATTGGTGTATAGCAGGAAAAAAACATCATATGTAGAATGAATAAACAAAATAAAGCGTGCATTCTAAAATATTCATAATAAACACATTAAAATGCATTTTGTACTTATTGCATATATGCATGACTTGTAAAATTTTGCATATGCACATTTTGCATATATATATATTTAATATTTTTAAATTTTAGGAACAAAAGAAAATATTTTCTTGAATATTATTTTAAGATTAAAATTTGATACTCGTACATATGATACTAAATAAAATATTAAAATTGGCACTTGTTTCAAAAACATTTATATATGATAAAAATTGAAAAAAAAGTCATTTTTCATGAAACTTTGAAAAACATGTTTCATTCTTTTGTAAGCATAGAGGGACTTCACATGTTTCACACATCCAAAATGTTCGTCGTTCTTCTTTCGTTGTGCTGCAACATGCACATCTTCTGCTGCTCCTTCTCTTTGGCGTGTGACTTACATTTTTTAGTCTTTTCTGGTTAGTACGAACGGTTTTTTAGTTTTTATTTGAACTGGGGATTTCAGTTCATTTTTCAGCTCTTTCTTGCCTGCAAGTGCCATTAGACCTTCTATAACTGAGAGACTAAAATCTTTCATTGTTTTTACATCATGATCGGGTTCGCGAACAAACTTAAATAGAATAAATGTGTTTACTATACTCGCATCTGAAAAGTAAAAAAAAAAAATATCCTGTGCCACCATTTCTTGCTTTTGCCGTCTATTTCATATAGTCCTTTCAGTTGATCAAATAAGTCGACATATCCCATATTCTTATTCTACGAAATAATGTTGTTTGGGCACAGTACTTTTTTTGTCTTTCCATCTCGTTCTTTTCTATTATTTTCTTTCATTTCAGTTGCCTTTTCCAAGCAAGACAGGATAGAAACATATCTTTTATCCTTCCATTTTATGCAATAAATTGAATCATCGCCAACTGAAAAGTCTATATATTCTCTCGACATAAATTTGTCTTTTAAATTTTTGGGTAGATACTTCCGATCCATATTTACAGTGCCACATGCATAGATGGGTCTGTGTCTTTAAAAAGCGAAATAAATTATAACTACTTCCCTTTCTTCTTCAGCAATAACTTCAACCTCAGTTATTCTCTCCTGGATTTCAATTTCATCTGAATCAGAACTGACATCTGAAGCATTTGAGTCGCAATCGGATGGCACTTCAGCAAAAAGATCCAAAGCTTCCTGAGTTGTTAATTTTTTGTAGACATTTTAGCACATCAGAGCATACAACGGATGTAAAAGCTCGTGCAATCACTAAAAAAGTAGATGCAAAAAAGAAAAGAAAAAATAATTGTGAGTGCTGCCATCTATTGAGCGGAAATTCAAGTGTGTGGTGGGACAAATTTTAACCCACTTATTTCAACTGCAAAATTAATGTTATAAAATATTGAATCCAATTAAGATTTTTGAAAATAAAATACCTTTGAATATTAAAAAGAATCATACATATCATAAATTGTATACCAAAATTTTAAAATGTTGAAAAATGCGAGATACATGGATATCACTCTTGTGATCCTATTTTGAATATTTTTTGCTTATAAACTTAAGCCCTGGTATAGTAGTAACATCTACTGAGAAAAATAATAACTAAAATAAATTATTTTTAAAAGATTAGAAAATTTCTAACGGAAATTGCTAATTGAGAAAATAAACATTAATTAGGTGGGACATATATTGACCCACCATGCCGCAAAGGGTTAAATGCGCATGCGCACACACAAATTCGCAGCCGTAAAGGTCTTACGTGCACTCGTAAATGGACGCATGCGCAGAAAGTTTGTAGCTTTGAGGTCCAGATTATAGATCATTCCGGATTATGGGTGTCCGAATTAACGACTTTTGACTGTACCATGTTTTCATAAGTACCACATGTGCACATTTAAAGAGCCCCAAAAGGAAGCCTGCTAGTCAAGAACATGTTTTTTCCTTTCGTTAATATTATAAAAATCCAAGTGCATGTAAAGTCATCTTTGTCTCTTTGATGAGAAGGTCAGATTCTTGTATCAATATTCTAAAACGTTTCGAAGTTCTGACATGAATGTGTGTTAGGCAGGAGTGAATGAAAAAACAATCTGTCACTGGCATACCAGCTGGGAAGTCAGTGCATTTCATGCTGGCATGTCTGTGTGACAATTAGCATGAATGGGTTAAAACACAAACACCAAAGGCACCTTTGCATTTAATTTCATATATCTTACTGGGGAGAACAGTAGCATCATCACACAATTTATTGTTCTCTATTTTTAACTTTCATATCTTTTTATTACTTTCTTAAAAGACAAATAGCTGTTAAAAACTAATGTTTCATTTTAACATATCAAATACTTCAGCATGTCTTCCTACAAAAATATATTTTCACTTAATGCATTGCCTTTCATGTGTAATATTTTAACTCATTGTTAGAAACAATGTAATTTATAATTTGATTTATATGCATAAAAAATTTGGGTACAATTTATTTCCTCATAGTTTTACATAATTAGCAATTTTTCAAAAAATATCACAAAAGAATAAGAGATGTGGAAGATCAAAAGATAGTAATATCACAAAATGTAACAGATAATAGAAAAATCATTTTACAAAAGAAGGACACGTTACTGCTATATATACTTACAGCATTGTGCGTATGAGTATACACTCATGTTCTGAGCCTCAGAAATTAAACTACTTGCATTAAATATTTCTGGAAAATTTTTAAACAAATGTGGGCTTCATTTGTATAATGCATTTTACACAAATAACCATATGCAGTAAAATTGGAAACAAATAAAATAATAATAAAAAAATAAGATGCATTAAATTATTAATTACTATAAATTGATTAATGCTGAATTAAAATAATGTCTAAAATTTTATACAATTAGTTACCAGAATAGCAGGACTGCTGGTATAGCTTGAGAAATATTTGCTCACAAAATCATCACCTAAAATTTGGAATAATATTTGGCGATTGACTGGATCCATTAATTTTTTTTCAAGATTTTGTTTTAGAACTTGACACATTTTTGCTTCAACCTAAAATCATAGATATGTATCGCATTACAAACATGAGACAAATAATAACAAAAGAGATATAAAAAATCATAGCTACATATAAGGCTATCAAATATGTACTATATAATTTGCTAAATTTATAATATACTTTTAATGCATTCCTTATAATGAATAAACAAAGCTCATATGTCACATTTAACTGTTGCTAAGCAAGACACTTCAAATAGTTTTTCCCCTCTCTAATTCTGAACTTTGACAAGAACCGTTGTTCAGTAAAGACCTCTAATAATTTTGTCTGCATGTCATATTGTGTGCTCTTCAAGTTTGCTCCTCCAAACTATCCCTTGATAAAGAACTAAATTATTTAAAAGCAATAGCTATTGACAGGGGCTTTTCACCCAACATTATTAATCAAGCAGTTAAAAAATTTTCATCACAACACACCAAAGGGCACACTCTTGTTTTAAGAGATTATAAAAATTCTGTTGTCATTCCATCAATTAGCTATAAACTAAACTAAACTCAGTGGCATAACAGCCCTAATAGGCCAAGGCCTGCAGTGCCAAAAATCTGCTTTCTTGACCGTGGGCCCCGGGGTGCGTAAGCATATGCCCTAAACAAGTGGTCAGCTTGTCGCAAGACCCCCAGTGTTTAGTTTCCAAGCGAACTTGGTACTCGTTTTAGACCCAAGTGATGGAAATCAAGGGATGAAAGGCTGAGTCGACCTTGCCCAGCCCGGGAATTGAACCGCGGACCTGTGGTGCTGCGACGCAATGCACTAGCCACTGCACCACTGGACCTCAATTAGCTATAAAGTAGCACGTATTTTGCAGAAATTTAACTTTCGGGTCGTTTATTCTTCCATCAATAAAATTCCGAGTTCCATACTCAAGGACTCCATTCCGAATATGAATTCCTGGAGTATTTACAGGATTCTGTTGCCAGTGTGGCTTAATTTACATTGGCCAAACTAAGAGAGCCTTAAAATTTCGTGTTAATGAACATGAGGCATATGTTAAGAAAAAGAAAACACAGAATCTTCTGTTGCCAAACATTGTTGGTTCAAAAATCACACTTTCAATTTTTCTGCTGCCAAAATTATTCAAAAAACATCTTCCATTGGTGAACTGGATTTTCTAGAGGAATTTCACATTCAAAAAATCTTTCTGTTCTAGTTAATGACTCTAATTCCAATCCATCTTTGCCTTCAGCCTTTAAAGAAATTTTATTTTTGTTCTGATTTCTTCACCAGATAGCGCCAGTAGCTTATCTCCTGTCCAGGCTTTCTTATCATTATATCTTATCTCGTTCATTTGTGCTTTTGCAGCTGAGGATGATGATTCGGTAAAGCCATCAAAACTATTTCTGTGAAATTTGAAAATATAACGCTGATTTTTGTTGTTTGACTTCTAAATTAATAGACACATGCTTTAACAGCTTCCTTTCCATATAGTGGTGGAATATGTTCACTAAACAAAAGCATCTGACCTTTTCTTTAAGAATATGAACAATTAGTTATGTTAACAGCTGCATTAATTAAAGCAAAGCCCTTTGCAAAAAGTGCAAATTGAATCCTTGATATCTTTTGAATGGTAAAACAGAATCAGAATTTTTTGTATTTAAAACATATACTAAGCTTCATTCGATGTAACTAATTTTCATTTGGTCCTTTCAAGATCTTTGCGAAACCTATATGTATTTTCTTATGTATCTGAGAGTTATGTTTTATTTTAAATAGCAGGTTTATGTAAAATTATGATTTACAGTCATTAGTGATGTTCCAGCATGTATGGCAATGACACATCATATAGCATTTCGTTCACTTTACCAATAATGCTCAGAGTCTTTTTAGTTGAGTGACATTTATTGCATTTTCCTTCTTCTTAGTGAAATTTCCCTTCATCTTTTAAAACAACATGAATTTCTTGGACACTGCAAAATCTTTATCCTTGCATTTCACAATAATCCTCTAAAACAGGTAGTCTCAACAAGGGAAAAATCCCCCCCCCTGAAAGGGGAATTTAATTATTTCAGGCGGGAAATGGGGTCATCCTTTTATTTACCTGTTAAGTATTTAGCTTTAGTTTCTGAATGTAAAAAACTACTCTTATTCAAGTTTTGTATTTAGCAACATTTTCTATACTTTTATTAACTTATAAAACACATTAAAAAGGAATCTAAATTTAAATAAATGTATATGTATTTTTTGAGTTTTAGAAAGGAGAGGTGGCAAATGATTGTCTAACAATGGTGAAAGGGATGCACAGGTTGAAAAAGGTTGTGAATCACTACTCTAACAGCTTCATTAGAGAATGAAATTAAATAACCTTCACAGACACACTCTATTCTTGGTGTCATTTTCTGCTTCTCAGTGATAACAAACTATGCCACTAAAAGTTTCTATAAACCCAAAGTTCAGATTTTTACCACTGTAAGATACATATGCAAATTTTGCTCTGGAAAAATTACATTTATACAGATGAAACATTCTCTGTACTAAATTAAATAATATGTATTTTATCCAAAAATAAATATAACTGACTACAAATTTAATTAAAAAAAAAGACTACAAATTAATATTTAGATACAACTTAGATTTGCACACATTTTAGAACATATTTTCATTTATTAAAAAATTAATTATAACTGTATAAATAAAATACAGTAAAACATTAATATGGACACTTTAAACATACCTTTCTCCAAGAAGTGAAAGTAACAGACTGATCAATGTAGCTTTCAAGCCAACTCATTTTCCAAAATACAGTTCAACTCATTTCTTCCATGGGAAAAGGTATAATACAGACTTTGAAGCTCAGTTCAATATGAAGTTTAAAAACTTTAGATTATTTGTTGCATTCTTTTAGTTGATTACATTATCAAATAAGTAAACATAAAAAATTCAGAAGTCTCAGAATAAATAGCAAGCATGTTGTATATACAAAGGACACTTAATATGGTGAATATTATGAAGATCCTAACTGGACTGCAGGTGGTGATTCTCCATAACAGTGTTTTGCTTTTGGATCTGTATATGAGTTTTCATGTTGTACACTCTGCAAAAGAAATTTAATATAAAATAAGACTATTTTTCATAAATATGAAAACAGACATGTTATAGATAGTTATAAATTTAATCAACATAGTTAATAAATTCCTGTTTGAGAATGTCTGACAGCCTGACTTTTTTTTAATTAAACTAAAGACGCCAAAAAAATTTGAACTGGATGGAAAAGGAAAAAAATCAAAATATGTTTGTTGATTAATAACTCGTTTTTGTGTCTCTCCCAATCAAATCAGAGAGATAGCACCAAATGAAAAAAGTATAAATCTTGTAAAACTTTTAATGAGCATTCTAATAACCAAGCAAATGAGAGCTGAAATTAGCATTATAAATAACAATTCACGAATTCTGATAAGCATAACATGATGATGAATGTAATGTAACATCAAATTTTTTAAACAATTTTAGGTAAAATACATAAAAACAGTAATAATTAAAGTAGTAAATACTTATTATAATTATAGTAAATCCTTATCATAATAATAATAATAAATTATAGTAGTAGTAAATGCTTAACAAACAGCAATAATGTAAGTTAATAAAGATTAGTGACAAATTTTTTTAAATAAAATTTTTTTTTAAATTTAAACTTTTTTCAATGTATTGACATAAAAATAATTTAGACTTTCTTTCTCCCAATTAAATAAATTAGCAACTACATTTTACATGCAACTTAAGAAAAATAGCTACTTCATTAATTATGAAAATAACACATGCATTTTTCTGTTGATCTTGAAAGCTGGTGAGCATCCTGCCAAACGCATTCCTGCGGCAAACATTCTGGCAGAAATTTGAAGAAAAAGATTGCTTTTAGTTAAATAATCATGAATTCTTTTACGAAATATATAGTATGAAAATAGCATATATTTCGTAGAATAGGCATACGAAAACTTGCATAAATATGAGCTCAAGCTTTGAGATTATCCAAGAAATAAATTGATTATAATTCGTGAAAATCATTCCAGATGCCAATAATATGAAGAAAGTTTAAGATATGAAGAAAACTGTCATTTTTACAAACTTGGCTTAAATACAAATTTAAGTGGTGTTGTGTGATTGCCCAATGTTCTTTTATTGTGTTATTTTATGATTTCCAGTCTTTTAGTGTCTTTTACAGTGACATTTCTGAATTGCACAGTCTTTTGAGTATGCATACCATGACTTTGAAAATACTCCACTGTTTGCTGTTCGGTAAAGCAGTTCCAAGTTTAAATAATTTTTTTCAAAATGGAAGAGAAAAACAGAGAAACTGTAGTTAATTTAGATACTTTTTTCAAAAACAAAGCTGGCTAAGAAATTGGTTCACAACCAGTTCAACAGGGTTCGTAACCACACTTTAGTTAAAAAAATAAGCACCTATAAGCACTTTTCAAGCACATTTTAAGAAAAAAAATAAGCACTTGTCTAATTAGATTATACACAACTGCATAACCTTAAATTAATATTTATTAAGAGAGTGAGCATTACCTCAACCATGGAAAACAAGCAACTTTTTTAAATGACAGTTGAATTTACAAAATTAGTTTACAATGAGAGGAAAAAAACTATGCAGAACTAAACCATATTACAAGATTTAATGATGAAATTTCAGTTCAAAATATAGAAAATAAATAATAATAAGCCATATTAATTGTATTCGTTTGGCACCTAATAATAAATACAATTTATTTTTCCACTCATATTAATATTTAAATAATTTAATTTAAATCAAAATTCTGAACATTTTCTAAAGTTTCATTGCATAACATTTTCCCCTTAACATATATTCCAAGCAAAGTAATTTAAGTAAAAAAGAGGCACGTTTCTGAAATCAGAAGACGGGAAATTGCATCAAAATGGGAATTGCAAAAAAAAATCATCCTTTAACGGTAAAAGCTTAACTAACCCGCATACTCGGAAATAGCCGAATATTCCATATAGTAACTGGAAAAAGTGGAGTGGGGGAGATTGTAGCCGTTCTTTAGATTTCTCGTATAAATAAATGATTTTGACATTTCGATATGTGCATCATATAAAAATAGACCAACAGAACTGAGAAATATTCTGCTTAGAAAGCACAGTAAAACTCTTTTAAGTGTTCATAAACAAATCTCAGAGTGAACATCAAAATTATCTCTGCAAAATACCGCAAACGTTATTGCGCAATACGTGCAGGGTAATTCTTCCACGATATTACGCACTCGGAATGAACAGCTGCCGGTATTCAGAGAATAAAGAACTAAATAAAGGAAAAGAAAAGAGACTTACTAATCTGGGTTGTTTCTGATTCTTATTTTCAACAGACTGCATTAAATTTCCGGAATAGAATCAATCTTCGCTTAGGTTGGGTAGACCACAAAAACTTTTAGTCTTATTCAATTCAGATTGGACAGTGACAAAAAAAAAAAAAAAAAGTCCGCTGCTTCAATATTAGAGATTTTGTGGAGAAAGGGGAGAACCTCCCAGCCTCCATACTGTATAATTTATTGGAAAAAAAAATTATTTTGACTATTCGATTACTTTCCTTTTATTTAAGCCATTCCAAATATTATTCCTTAGAAAGCTAATTTGTGAAAAAACACACCCATTTTTTGGAAGTTTATCTATACTTCACCAGTTACTGCAACTATATTATTATAAATATTCATGCATATGCTCATAATATAAGCATAACGATCATAATAAACACGAATATGAACTGACCACATGGAACGAGAATGCAAATTATTAAAATCTTGATAGAAATTCAAATGTGTGTAGTATTTGGGTAGGAGGAAAAGAATACCAAATGTACCGGAATTTTCTACCGTTTTCGCAATTCTTTGACCAATAGAACGACATGTACCTGTCTGTACTCTCGCGTGCACCATAGGTTACGTTAATGCAGAGAAAGGGGAGGGGAAGCAAATTCCAGGGAGTATGATTCACCATCTGACGTTGCATATAAGGAAGAAAGGTTGTTAATTAGTTTCGGCTTTGGTACGGGGAAAAAAAGCGCGTTCATTAAAAAAAAAAAAGGATTAAAAAACAGCACTAAAAGCAAAAAATAAGAACTAAAAACAAAAAAATAAGGGCTTTAAAGAAAAAGTAAGCACCTTTAAGGGCCTTTATATTTTATTTTCAAATATAAGAACTTATAAGCACTTGTAAGGACCGCTACGAACCCTATTCAGGCAACTATTTTCATATGTAACTTTTTTTAGTAATTTATTTTAATCAATCAAATTTATTAAAAATACAATCCATAATTTACAGAAAAATTGTTAATTACAATAAAAAAGAGATCAATGGCATTCATGTTAAAATATGTTTAATATGAAGTGGCAAAATATTAATAATTTATAAAAAAATACTTCCAAGTTTAAATTATCTATAAAATTTCTTGCCATCGTATTAATGGTCAATGCATTAAATTTAAACAAAATGTGAGAATGAATTTACCTGTGAAGACGTTCTACACTTTGTTAAGCATAATTCAAAATGATCTGTTATAGAGGCAAATAGGATGTTAAAAGTTTCAGACGCTTTTCCAAGAATTTTTTGTAAAAGCAATCTCTGCAATATAACAATACAAAAGCTTAAAACTAGATTACAAATAATAATCACTACATAAAAATAGTAAGTGTCAGATTATTCAACCAAGTGTTCAAATTCAAAAAAAAATTGTGTTAATAATTTAAAATGTGTGTTATAACATTTAATTTATTTATAAAAAAAATCACACAGAGAAACTGATAAAAGTAAGTTAATACAATTTTCCCGTGAATTTTTTATATAGCTACAATTAACACAAATTTAAACAAGAGACTTCAAGTACAAAGAAAATCTGTGGCAAATTTTCAAATGAAATCTTTCCCTCATAAAAATATGGAATATTTAGCCATTTTTCTAATACTGATGAATGTCTGTATATTTTTCAAATTTTATTTTTATATCTATATTTAATCCATTAGTTTAATTTTTTTGACATTATGCATAATGTGATTATGGCAATTGCTTCAACCATTGTATACTGTTACCTCTAAAAAGTTTAATCACCAATTTTTATCCATTTTTCATATGTAAATTATCTGTAAAATATAAAATTAATTATTACTGCTGTGATTTACTCAGTGATCAAATATATTAACAGGTCACAACAAATAATTCAATAGGAGTACTTATCGTTGACTATTGAGAAATGAGGCAATATACAAAACTCAAAAATAAATAAAACTTACATGTTGGGAAATACTCATCTGTAATTAATATGATTGCAGTTTTTTTATTTTTTCATAATATTCAATATTTTTTACATATATTTCATATACTACATAATATTTACATTACAGATACATAATATTTTTTACAGTTTCTATAACATATGGATACAGAAAACAATATAAGAACAAGATGTAAATTAATCTGTTTAAATCTTACATTAACAAGGTTTTTTTATTATTATTATTATGTAGGATTAAATATGCAGTCTATGCCACAAAGATATTTTAAAACATTAATATAAATAATAATACCCTAACATTACTCTTCATAATAAAAAATGAAAACTATTTTAATGCACCTTTCAGTATTTACAGAATTTTTTTATCTAAAGTATAGATTTTCATATCTGATTAACATATTATATCAATTATTGCAAAATTGTTCCATACCTTTTCAGGTTGTAAACAGCAAGAGATACAATACTCATATATGCTACAGCAACCATTCTCATGACAAGATTCACAATGATATCGACTAGTAGAGGCCGAATCTACATTGCAGCATCCATTTGAAAGCACATCATGTCTTGAACAAACATATCCTGATGGTATTAAAATACATAACGGATATACTAATCAACAATCATATTACTTTAAATGAACAAATTACATTACCAAAGAAAAAAGGAAAGAACTTAGCAGTCATAAAATATTCATATAAAATTATAGAAACAGAACTTGAATAAAAGTAAAAATATTTAAAGGGCTGTTAAAGAAACTAGTTTAAACATTTCTTATTCTCCTGCTGGCTTAATGTAGTGTAAGTATTGATATAACTTTACAATGATAACAGAACTATAAAATCCATACATTAAAATATGAAATGAATGCAAGTAAAATGAAGGTACATACACAGACAAACAGGAAAGAAACTTCCCCAAAATAGAAAAACAGAAATTTGTGTTCTCATGGATACATAACAAACACAAAATCTTTTGTAACATGCAATCAAAACTCTGAAAACAAAACAGTAACTATGACAATAGACAAAGAGGTATCAAAAGCATGAATCCAACAAAATCAATAACATGAAAAAGTATGTATCCAAGCATTTTAAACAGAATTTAAATTATCTCTACAAGATCAAATTAAATACAAAATAAGGAATTATATATGCATTTCAGAGAATTTATTTTTCTCCTTATGAAATAGCAGATGACAAGAGATTTAATTAATATCTGCAAACAATCTCAGATTATCAATTTATTAAAAAAAAAAAAAAAAAAACCTCGGATTGGTATTCATTTTACATAAAATTCAAAATACCAGTTTAAAGGACTTGCGAAAGATGGGACACATGTCAAAAACCTTTACTTTCGCTTGTGTCTCTTCTACGTAGCATCCAAATTATTAGAGATAAATACACATAAATTGTAATTTGTAATTTTTTTATCAATTTTGTTTTTTTGATTTTTCTGGCACATGAGCTCATATCAAGGCTTAAATTTTGCACTCCAGATTGGACCTAGTATTATATTTTATATATTTTTTCCTTTCATTTCAAAGTATATTTTTGTTCTATTTAAAAACTGCATAAAATTTTCCTAGATTTTTACACTTATACTGTATTTAAACTCATAAGCAAATTCGAAAATAAAAAAAATACTACTATGCATAACTTTTTCAGAAGAGAAAATTATGAATAAATCAAAAATGCAAGTTTAAATAATCAGAAAATTTTATTCATCATTATGCTTTTTCTAAAGTGGAAACAAGTTAACCATTTTATTTATTTTCACAATAATATTATGCTGTTAAGTTACAGTTTTAAACACTGCAAATACACATTGCTACTATTAAATAAGGTACTTACACATCATCTCGTTGAATGTGAAATTGGTTACCAATCCCCAAATGATGGAGATCTAACCAAAGACATGCTAATCACTCAAGTCAAATTCTGAGCTGATTTTTGTGGCAAAAATTGCCATTACATAAACCAAAATAACAAGTCAAAGAATTGCACAAACTTGGTATCCATGTATACATCAACCTATTTTCACTAAAAAAAAGTCAGAGAATTGCACAAACTTGGCATTGCGCACTCCCTTAACTTTGTCCATGCACACATCAATCTATTTTCTTTTTAAAAAGTCAAAGAAGCAGCTAACAAAAAATATATAATCTCAATAAACTACATTTTAAGTCAAACAATCAAATAACATGAAAAAGGAAATTCATCTTAGCACTACACAAAGGAAATATCCACTTACCTTATTTAGAAATTTTCCTGTCTTTATTCAAACAAAATTCCTTAACAGCATCAAAAACTTCCAAAAATTATCTGAATTATAATCTGTATATTGGCGTCGCCGCATAAATTTACACAGAAGAGTCAAAAATATCCTCTGACATTCGACCATATGCATTTCTTTCCTAGAAACAGGACACTTATAATGGCTACTAAGTAAACCTTCATTTATCACACAAGTCAATTAATGCTCTTTTCCCCTTTCCATTTCAAATCGTACACAAAGTTCAAATTAGTGTCACCACACTCAGCCATTTTACCGTCTAAACTACAAAACAAGCAACGAACTTTCCAACCAACGCACACCGCAAGCCCTTACAAATCTTTTCCCTATCATTCAAATTCACCACAATCACACAACCAATTATGTCATAATAGGGTTTCCATAACATTCAACTACTCAGGTTACCATAAATGAAACAACAACTTCGCAATACAAGGGGCACCCTTAAATCTATTCTAACCCAATAGTGATATTTTCTGGATTTAAAATTATACAAGCGATTTCACCATGCATTAGTCGAGTATTGATTGGGCCACAGTCATCACAATGACAAACTTTTGCTATATCATCTTCATTTATTATCACTTCTCCATGTTTCTTCATTAACTCCATTACCTGGAAAATGTCACCTCCTACAGGAATCCAAATAAAGTTATTGGATTAGTCTATATTTCACGGTTTCCTTGGATTATTGCCAAGTTGTTGTTTCATTTATGGTAACCTGAGTAGTTGAGTGTTATGGAAACCCTATTATGACGTGACTGGTTGTGTGTTTGCTGTGACTTTGTCTGATGAGAAAATATTTGTAAGGGTTTATTTATATGTTGGATGTTGGTTAGGAAATATATTGCTTATTTTGTGCTTCACACCGTAAAATGCCTGCTGGTGGTACAATTAACCTAAAGTTTCTGTACACTTTAAAATGCCTGGGAAAGAAAACATCAATTGATTGGCGTGTAAATAAAGACTTAAATGACTTCATCGACCTTTCGGTAAATTATGCATTGAGATTTAAGGATTTGGAAACCAGTGCTTATATCAACACTATGGAAGGTACCTGGGGTGTAATAAAAACCAATTTTCGAAAGAAATGCCATCAACAGTTCGGCAGTACAGAGGACATTTTTCATTTTTACTTTTGCGAATTTATGTGATGACGGCAGTATACAGATTCTAATTTAGATAATTTTAAATAGTTTTGGTATGCTGTTAAGGAATTCTGTACGTCTCACATAACAAAGAAAGAGAAATTTTTAAATAAGATAAGTCAATATTTCTTTTTGTATTGCGCAGATTACATAACAAGCATTTCCATTCTTATGCTATTTCCTCGTTTGATTTAAAATGCAGTTTATTGAGATATTTTTTGTTTTAATTATGTTTTGGACGGCATTTTACTGGGGAGGGCGGTGGAAGTAAACAGAAATGGCACCAAAAATTCACCAACTTTTGCCAAGGTGTACTCTGAAATATATTTTTGCCGGTTATTGTTTTGCCTAATTTTGAAATCGCACTTTCTTAAACCTGAATTGCATCAAGGCTGCTTACAGAAGGCAAGTACCAAACATGCTTTCACTTTACAAATCCTCCTACAGCTCCAGAATTGGAAAGTATTTTCGACATAAATGAAAATTCAAACTTTAATTTTGATAAGATAGCTGTAATAATAACAGCCTTCTAAAAATAATAAATTGGATCTCAAATTAGAAAATCAACCCACGGCTTTATCCAGTCATGAGATTTTTTGTCAGTTAGAATACACTAGCTTAAGATTTAAGACATTTTGCTTTCTTAGTTTCTTTAATAACATAAATGTCATCTTAATAAATGTAAGTTTATGAAAATAAGAGACTAAAACAAGTAAATATACAAATTTATTTAATAAAGGTTGTTTAAATATACATATTCATGACAGATTTAAAAAAAAAAAAAACCATGCCGCTCAGAGGGTTCAGCTATTATTAAGTCAAACAGCACTAAATATTTATGAAATTAATAAACTTCTGGCCATTTACAAAATATATATATTTTTTATTATGGAATGAAATTTTCGTTGAATTTCCCCTGATAAACACACTCAATCATTGATCGTTGCCAAGTGTAATAAAATGTTTCCATGTGTTCTTTATTAAATTACTAATACTTTTTTTTAAATTATATATTTTTTTTAATTGTTTAGACAACACTGAGTGAGCCATTTCCCAATCTGCCTGTGTTGATAGTCATGCAGTGATGAAAGCAAAAATTAATAAATAATGATTTATTTGCCAAGATGGCATTAGAGTTATGAATTATTCAATAGGTGTAAAATGAACAATGTTTTGACATATAATGTTTTAGTTTGAGATGTGTGCCAAGACAAAAACAGCTACAAAAGCAAATTATTGATCATACAGATTTATGCTAATAAACAATTGTCTCTTTAATAATGGAGACATTTATTGCTAAAGTCAAATTAAGAATTGGAATGCTTTATTATGAAAAAAATATCAAATGCACAAGTATAAAGTATACCCCCCCCAGAAAAAAAAATACGAAAAAAAAAAGTTACTGATGATTCAGAGGTCTGAATTTCAGATCCTTCTGAATATTGGAAGCCTGGATTTCTGACTTTGTACTGCACTTACATACACCATCTCAACTTTTTCAAAACACATACTAAAAATTTATAAAATAATAATTATCTCTTTTCATTTTTGTTATACCTTTATCATCTGCAATAAGAACTTTTCCTTGCACTGAATTACGACATGATACTATTTTTGAACTGCTGTGATTAGTTTTATCCCAAGATGTATGCCATTTGAAAGACTGAGAGGGTAAATTCAGAGGTTGTACCATTATATCTTCAGACATTAATTCATCATTCTGGAAAAAATAAATAGCAGTTAATAATAAACAACTATTACATGCTTTAAAGACCAAAAACTTAACATTTCTATAATCTTATCAAATAGTAATATGAACGATTTTAATGTTAATTGTAAATTTTCAAAATTCTGGATAATAGCACTTTAATAAATGTTTTTATTAAAATGCATATCCAAAGTGCTTTAAAGATACGCAATGCATATCTTTAAAGCAATACTGGATATACACAGTAATTACTACTCGGCAATTATATGAATGTACAATAAATGGAATAGGACAATTAAAGTTAGGATTAACTATAAAATTTGGCATAGCCCTTCTTCGTTTAATACAGAAGATACAGTTAAATACGTAGAAGTATAATTGTATTTGATTCTGTAATTATGATAACAGACTTGTTTTAAGCATTTTACATACAGTCAAACAATATTTGGAAGCACTTCCGCAGAGAACCCCGTAAATGTAAACATCGCCAACTTTGGCGATAATAGTTCAAACCTGGTAACCCATCAGATAATTATTACTGTCGTTGTTCGCATTTGCAGATTTATATTATTCTTCTCTTATTTATTATTATTTTTTTTGAATTTTTTAACAACGAATAGATAGAAATATTTTCGTAGATAAATGCCGGTTCTCGGTTCGGGATCAAAAGAGGGGTGAATGCTAATTTGTAACACGGCTGTTCACGTTGTGTTCTTAATTATTAACAGCTCTAAGAACCATGAGGTTTCCGTCTAAAATAATTTGTTTTCGTAGACCGCAAAAATGTGCATGTGCGTTTTAAATAATTAAGTAATGCTTTTATTTTTATTATTGGTTATTGTCATCTAAAATTCTGAGAATAATTGAATTTTTATGGGGTAAAATTTTAACAAGATAATATATTGTTAATGCTTTTATAACAATAACCTTTCAGCGGATGGCAGGTGTGACATAAATAGATTGATTAATAATGACATAAATTGATTATCTAAGATGACAGAATAGTTTGATTCATCACCATGGTCATCAAAATTAGCAAACCACTGCTGGTGTAAGGAATATATTTTTTTCTGTGCTAACTTGAATTTAATGCAAATTTATTTTCGTATATCACGTTTAACCGGTTAGTTTCCCATCTACATGCTTATTACCTGTAAATTTTTACTACCATAAGCTTATTATATTGTTTTATCTGCAAACTTGAATTTACATGCACTAAAAATCACATTCACAAAATATCATGTTTACGGCTCGGCTCATCGTAGCTTGGCGAGTAAAAATGCAACGGCGCCAACGGGTTCTCTGATTAAATCCATGAATATTACTTTGGCAATACAAAGTTTATGGGAAAATACTTACTGCAGGTAGCCAATGTATTAAACAGTAGCAAAATGATAAAGTAAACAAAACAGCAAGCACAATTTTTTTCCGAAGAAAACGAAATATCCTACTAGTGAACATTATTTCAACCTTTTAAAGTAACTTGTAACTAAATGTATTAGATCTCTTATGAGTGTGAAATGATTAATTACATATCTTAATCATTTCATTTTAAATATAAATCCATATCTCCGCATTCGGTCAACCTTCTTGACAGCAAAACTTGTTGCCAGATATTCAGAAAAAAGCACATGTGATGAAATAAGGTGGGTGGTTTGATAGGCAGTACTTGAAAATCGGAATTTTCAAGTACCTATGCATAAAATTCGAATATTTTTAATGCCTGAAATTAGGATATTTTTACTGTAAATTAATGAAGTATTTTAGAATGTTTCTTACAAAAAGTGTACAATAAATAAAGGACTCCTACTGTGTCAGCCTGGATTGTTCCTGTATTTAATGTGACCTCAGTTAGTAACTGGTTTGTTTGTGTTTGTGAAAAAGAGTGCGTTATTTATTTGGAATTAAAGAACTACTTGAAATATGTCTATAGAAATCGAATCAGCTGAGTAAGAAAATCAAATATACATTCTTGTTATGTGAATATATACAGTGGTAGCTGGATACCCGTCATTAATAAATTCCAGATTGTTGGTTGGATGTATACTAACAAAAGATTTCCAATGAGAAATAGAGAAAAAAAATCTATTGTTATAAAAAAAATTCTTCTGTTATTGGTGTTATTATACTATTTAATACTAAAATGCAAATGCATTGGGTGAGGTGCAAAATTAATTAGAAATATATTTCAATAATAATACAAACATTTACATTACCTTTTTTATATTAATCTTTCTTGCATACGCTTAACATGATGCTTTTTTTTATCAACCTGAACTTAATTGTATTAAATAGCAATTTTAATCAATATCAAGCTACCGGCTAAGGGCTTAATCCTAGTAATTGGTGATCTAATGATGAGCAGTAAAAGAATCATAAATTAAACTTACATATGCTTTATATCATGTTTTACTACAAAACTTATCCATATATCACTATTACCATTGGCAACAAAAAAGGCTCTGTCACCAACAGTTTCTTTGAGAAAGAAAACCAAAATATATACTAAATACTATACATAAATATTTTCTTATCAAGATCAAAAGGAATTTTTTAATGAGCTCTAAGACCTCTGATTTTTGTTAGTCAAATCCCAGATACATGCCGTCTTCGCAATTTTCCAGAATCTCTTTTTCACTTCCATGGTGATTCTAATAATATTTGTCGTTGCTTGGCTCTTCTCATTGACTTTCCTAAAATTCACTATTGATGAATTTATAAAAAACAGTATGCAGATAAACACAAAATCAATTGAAAACTCAAGAGTCATACCATGGGTTTTTTACTGAATAATAACAACAGGCGTACTGACGTTCTTAGACAGTCATAGCTTTGTCGCAAAACAGGTAAACAAATGTAGTCATGTTTCATTGAATTGAAAAGTCCATGAAAATATTCGTTTCCAAATACATCAGATGCTCAGTTTGATATATTTCAAAACGGATGAATGCTGATATACTGCTGTACCTTTATTCCTGAAATGTGTTTTAATTTTAAGGAAATTCATGTTTTTCTTTCCTTGTTACTTAATTCAGTAATGAAAAATATGTATTCATTTTGAGTGTTTGGCTTGTATTTATTTAAATTCATATAATATCTCACTTAAACCATGAAAGGACAAAATTGATTTTTATCGGATTAAAACAAAATATAATGTTTTAGGCTTACATGCTGTAACCTTGTTTATAAAAACACGTTATGTTTGTTTGTAAATGTGGTTTTAACATGTAGGTTTAAAATATTTTAACTACAGGTGTTAATTTATTCTTCAACATGCATATTTTTATGATTTGGCCAAAATGGTACATGGCTCAATGTGCTTATATATTGAGTGGCCGATAGCAATTTGTAATGATTATTACTTTATCAGTTATTTACTTTTCAATTTGTACAATTTCTACTAGTATTTTTAATTTCTACTTTCCTGATAGATATTCTGGGTTGATATTAATTTTATGCTTTTATCTCTCTCTCTCACACATTCTAATAATTTCTAATAAATTATTGTTTTATTACTTAGCTGCTTTAGTGCAAGTTTTAGGCATTTTAAATTACTTATAATTTTTTACTTTTATATATATGAAAATTTTTCGCAATCAATTCTCATCAGATCAACTCGATTTGGTGAGAGAAAACGATAATGGATTGGTATTGGAAAGTCCTAACTATGCAGTTAGAAGAATGACACTCGAAGACAGGCGTGGTTGCTGATTTTGGAAACATTTTATTTCTTGATAATGCACATCATCACTATAGGTGCCACAGTATCACCACAATTTTATACATCTTATATTTGTTAAACAGTGGATGACAATTGGAAAAGTAAATTCTGCATGACTAACAGTTAAGTGATGCAGTGAAAATGAAGCAGAAGCGAAGAGAGAGGGAGTTTAATGTCCAGATGTTGGGCTCGGATTTCATCAATAAGTACACATCAGAACCGCAGGGAAGTTAAGTTAGGAAAGTTATTACTGTTATTTTTAAATTAAAAGCAGAAATTAAATGGCTATTATTAATTTATTATTTGAAAGATAGATATTTTATATTTTTCACACACACACACACATGGCATATGGCATGTTTACATTTGATTTTCAAAAGAATTGCTTTGTAATTATATACTATATAACTTAACTATTTGTTTGGTATTTTTTTTTTTTTTTTTTTTAATTTTAGGGTAGTTTATAAAAAATTGTTTTAAATAATGATTTTTCCTTTTTTTTAGTGTTATTCGTCTTATTCAGCAATATTTGAAGGAAAATAATCTTTCTAGAACTTTGCAGACATTGCAGGTATAAGAATTAAATTTATATAAAAAAATTATAAATTTTAATAAAAGTTTTATTTTTTCTATCATTTATTTTTATGATTTTGCTTTATTTTCTCTTTCTAGGAAGAAACTTCTATTTCTTTGAATACTGTAGATAGCGTTGATAGTTTTGTGCAAGATATCAATAATGGTCATTGGGACACAGTACTTAAAGTAGTGCAGTCTTTGAAATTGCCAGATAAGAAATTGATTGACTTATATGAACAAGTATGAAGAAGTTTTGATTTAGAAAGACTATTATCATATAATCTGGGATAGCTAATACTTTTGAGCAACTTTTCTACTTTTATGCTGTAACCGCAAGCATTTGACAATTGTGGATACTGTAAGGTTGTCATGCATGGAAAATATTATTGTATAATTCTTAGCCTTTATTGAAATAGGATGAAAATTTCGTACTTTTGTCGTAAAGTTGCACTGTGCATAGTTGCAAAAAATCGGCAACATGCCACTGCATCTGCATAGTTGTCGAAATTTGTAATTTAATTGATCAGTTTGTAGCAAGCAAGTTTTAGATGTTGCCAAAAGGCTTTTGGCCACAACAATGAAGCACTAAAAATTTCAACACTGATATCTGATAGGCTAAGAAATATATAATAATACAGTCAAAAGTCGTTAATTCGGACACCCTTGAATGAATGTTTGTGTAAAGGAATGAATCTTATTGAATTAATACCGGATATCATAGATCGTTTTAGGATGTATCCGATAGGTACATTCAAAAGTCGTTAATTCGGACACCCATAATCCGGAATGATCTATAATCCGAACCTCAAAGCTTCAAACTTCCTGCGCATGCGTCGCGTTGACGCATGCACATAACGCCTTTACTGCTGAGAATATGCTTGTGCACTTGCACAAAATACGTTTATGAGTGCGCGTTTAATGTATAACGGACGGTATAAGCTAGGCTAAAATTATTTAATTATCTATTGCAGTTAATGTTGAAGATTGCGTTGTTCCTTAATCTTCGAATTGGATACGGCTTATTATTTTTGCAGACTGTTAGAGCAATATTATAAAAGTAAGCTTGAACTTTCGATTATGTCAAATAGGAATTTCCGATATATATTTACTAATATGTAAAGGATATACAAATGCGTAAAAGTATGTTTCGGAGTCCATTAAACAAAAAGTGGAATTGCTGCAAAAAATGGATAAAGGCATATCCTTTGTTTATCTAAACTTTAATGTTTGTTTACCTAAACTTTGTTTATCTTTAACGCCGCGGCGTGCAATGAATTGGAAGTTGATCTGTCAGCACTATCCTTATCTTCAGGGCAGATGTTTTTATTTTATTTGGCTTATAATTCCTTACTAAATGTAGTATTTCATCTCGATGTACTTCGTCTTTGATATGATTTTAATCAAATTCCTTGTCATTATAATTTGCTTCTGATAGCGAAGAAAGTGACAGAGGTTAATGAAAACGAAAAAATTTCGATTGACAAATTAAATCGGTATTCTCAACACAGCAATTATAGGACTTGAACAGCAGAACTTTGTAACTGAACAAGAAATTATGTCTGTTTATAGAATTAAAGAGAATGTATTATCACATAAAAAACGAAGCAACTTAAACAACTTACATTGAAAGAAATGTTTAGTAAAGTAAACAAATAAATATTAAGCTTTTTTTTTTTTTTTTTTTTTTTTGTAAATTTTGATACCCTTTAGATCGTAATTGTTCTTTATATTATAAATTACAGGTTTATATTTTTAATTTTATAATTTCTGCATGCCATCTTACCAGATTTAAACTGATGATCTATAATCCGGAATCGCCGAAGTCCCGACGAGTCCGGATTAACGACTTTTGATTGTATTATTTTTTGAATGGAGGAAAAACGAATGCACATTTTTTTTTAAAGTGATTCGTAGAAAAATTGCTCAAAACAATTGGTTATCCCAAAATTTTTTCATTAATTTTTGTTAAATCTGCAATTGATGGTATATAGTTAATAAAAATTAGATTTTTGATATCACAGTCGCATGTAGCAGAAGAGAATATTGAACATATCTTTGAAATTCACCTTATTATATAAAAATAAGAAGTCCTCGATTATGTAATAAATCAAATATGTGAAAGCATGAAACTTTATATCGTATGAATTGCTTGGAAGTAAGAATGGGAAAATTTAAAAGTAAAAAATAAATCCAACTTTAAAGTTGTGCATATATTTTGAGACTTGGTGATAAGCTTAAACGAAATTAAAGAATGTTAAATGAAGCTGGATCAATTATTTCATTGTTTTACTTTACAACATAACTCAAACTTTGTGTAACATTAACCAAGTAAATCAAGTCATGAACTTAAATCAAAAACTGTACACAATGTTTGGGATGAAAACATTGTTAAATATTATTAAATATGAATAAACATTGATCAGTTGTGTGCATCCACCTCACATATACTTTTTTTGCTTTGCCTTTTTTAAGATGTGTGTCCATAAAAATTGTAATTTTACAATGTTTATTAAATATAAGTTCAAAGTCAAATTAATTCTTAATATTACTTTTTGTGTAAATGTGCCCTAAATTACAAAATAGAAGTACAATATAAAAACAGGGTTGCCACGCTACCTGGAGAACCGGGAAATGTCAGGGAATTCGAAAATTGACCAAAAAATTCAAGGAAAAGTCAGGGAATTTAAGTATTTTTGTCAAAATCTGGAAAAGTCAGGGAAGTTCATACAATGATCCGCCAAAAAAAGCGATTTTGCGCGACGTCGGAGAGAGGAAGAGATAACTTTTTTAGCGAATTGCGTATCACGTGAGTGTCATTTCGGGCAGCTGGCATAGAGCCAATTTTTCGCAGCTCCAATTTGATTGTCTTTTAGAAAGGCAAAGCAAGTTTCCCGCAACTTTTGGTTTCCAGTATTCTCGAGAATCGCATGTGCAGTGCATGAACTAAAGAAAGTACCTGTTCTCGTAAAAAACAAAATGGGTTTAATCTTAGTATACGGTAGCATGGAGGTTAGAATCAAAGAATATGTATTGTAAAGAAGGAAAACCTCTCTGCAATAGACGTGGCTCCGTTACATCATAGAGGGAAACAGCTGTGCATGCGTGATATATCTGCTGCCAAAGCTCGAAACCGGTGTCGAAGTTTGAAGGTCACGTTATCAAGAGTTCATTAAATGAATATCCTTTAAAATTTCTTTAACCACTTGCGCTAAAAAGACGTGCCACGCACGTCGAGATGTTTTTGTCTCAAACTGCGAGCGACGTGAACACCACGTCGATAAGCATTTATCGCAAAAATGAAAATAACATGGTGCACACGTCGCCTAACAACGAGATTGTTTATTTCTCGAGTTACAGCTCTGGATTGCACTCGCAGATGCGGAGCGGCGTAAATGAGACACTTTACCGCTTGCTATTTTGTAGCGCACGGCACCGCAACCGTGAAGTTTAGTCTTAGCGCAAGTGGTTAAACTCTAAAGGAAAAGAAAATATTTTTTGGTGCAAGTAAATTAATTCATGGGTTAGTAATTTTCAGGGGGGGGGGAAAACTACAAAAATCCGTTTTTAAAATTATTGCAAAAAATCTAAGAAGAAACGTCCTTTGATAAAACCTTTCTTCTTGGATTTTTCGCAATAATTTAAAAACGGATTTTCGTAGCTTTCTTTTTGTCAAAGAACGTTTCTTCTTAACACATTTCTCAATTTCCGGTACACATCGTGGAGAGGGAAATTCTGGCCGCCAGGTTCCGTCGCCAAATCCCTTGGCATATTTTCCCTCCACATTCTATCGGCGTAATAGCATTTTACTTATATGGAACCTTTTCTTCTTTACATAGACCAAAGAATTAGAGATTCTTTGCATAGACGTTCTTTGGTTAGAATAATCTCCATGTATGGTACAATGGGATTTGGCGTCATGATGATGCACAGTAAACGGGTCATTTTGGTCTTGGCAACAATTTTCAAAATCGTGCCAAAGCCTTACCGTATACTAGAATTTTACCGCAAAATCTTTTTAAACTTTTTTTTTTCTTTTTAATAAATACCTTGCCATTTTGCAGTAAAATAAAAAAATAGTAATCTGTCATCTAGGCTAACCATGTAATATAACTATATTCGCTAAAATATCGTTGATTATTCTAATTCAATTTTTAAGTAATTATCTTTATTTTTATGTTATTCGTATAATTTAATGATTCTTCTTCCCTCTAAATTTATTTATTATTAGTAAATAATATTTCCAAATTTCAGGAAATTTTCTCTGGCATAATCTTGAAATTAATTCTAGCAGTATGATGACATACCATCACGAAATTAATGCACATATTTTTTTTTTTCCTTATGTATGCTGCGAAAATAAATATAAAATACCTCAATTTATTAAAATAGATTTCATTCTTTCGTTTAGCTGCAGAATGTCTGCCAAAAAAAGCCTTATTTTATTCCAGATTGGGAAGATTCTAATCTCAATCTTCAATGGAGAAAAACAACAACTATTATAATTATATTTGTGTTTTCAAGTGTTAAGGTGCTTTTAAGAACATACCTCACACAAATTAAATTTACCTAAAATCTAACCTAACTATTTAGCATTGTGTTGTGATTTATAAGGACCGGATTAGCCTCGTGTTGAACTGGTGATGATCACGAGTAATAATTAAATAAAACATACATTTGTTATCCAATTTATATATCTTAAATTTTATTAAGTTTCTTAAGTGGAAAAGTAAACAAAATTATCAAACAAAGTATACCAAGAATAATTAAGAATAAATGTCCTCTGGGATTTATTGAATAATTAAGTGAATTTGCTACACAATACAAGTAATACCATAATTAATTTACCTTTTAGTGTAGCCAAAGTACATTACGCGGATAGACTGGAATTTTCTTGAAACACACCTGGAAAACCTGGAAAAGTCAGGGAATTTCATTCCCCTGTTTGAGTGGCAACCCTGTAAAAATTTAGTTGCTCATAATAATCATAATCCTAAATAAATTTTTGAAGAGGTAAATTAAGATTTTTAAGTTCAGTGAAAGCAGAGTCCTCCCCCCACACTTTTAAATGTATATTTGTAGAATTTTTACAAATGTTACAAACTGAATAAAAGTAATTTTTTTTTTTTTTTTAAAGTAGTTAAATACTTTAGTGTGATAAAATAATTTAGCTTTCTGTTCTCAGTGGTTATTTACCATAAAAAAGCATTTAATTCAATTATTCTCATAACATCTGAAAAGAAAGTAGATGAAATGTATACCTATCTTAAATCATCAGCACCAGGAGCATTGGCATGACAGTTTCTTGAGGGCCCTGGCCTTCTTCTCCAGTTCTTAATTATCCAATGGCAAAATCTGCAGCCAGGTAGTTCCTGCATCTTTTCTTAGGTCTTCCGCAAGCAGGAGTTGCATTAAAGACCTTAAAAACCATTACATCTGTGTTCATTCTCAGTATGTGACCTGCCCATCTCATTCTACTTAATTTTGTGGATATAATAATATCATCATCTGCATAAATTTTGTAGAGTTCGAAATTGTACCATTTACGTCATATAATTATTCTCCGAAACAGCACCAAAAATAGTTCTTAGAATCTTCCTTTCAAAGATCACCAAGGCTCTTTCTTCCCTCATAGTCAAAGTCCATGCCTTTGACTATGAGGGACAAAAGACTGATTTTATTAATACTTTGTATAATAGAATTTTTATCCCTTTCTTTATTAGATAGCATTTCAAAAGAGGCTTTAAACCAAAGAAGCTAGGATTTGTGACAATAATCATTTTTCTGATATTCGGATTAATATCATTTTGACAGTTAATTTTGGAGCTCAAACAGATGAAATTTTTCACAGATTCAAGTTTAAATTGATCGGTCTCAAATATTTTAGGTGTATTTTCCTTTTTACCACAGTGCATATATTTAGTTTTTCCCGTATTTACTCTGAGCTTAATTTTCCTCTCTGAATTCTCTAGTGCCAAAAATGTTTCTCTCAACACAACTGTAGATCTTGCAGTTATGTGTGCATCATCACCATAAGCAGAATATGAATTTATTTATTAAATAAAGTACAGTCGATTCTGGTTAATCGGATTACATCGGGAAGCAATCCTTTTGGTCCTAATAACTGGCTGGTCCGATTACACGAACATGTCCTGAGACGGGATGGGCTATATGTAGCAAACAGTAAATGTACATGTAAATCATGTACTAAAATGTAATTATGAACTTTATGGTGCGGTTACACACATATAGCAAACATACATATACAAACAAGAAATACAGTCGGACTTTTTTTCATTGAGAAAATTAATTTAGAAACAAATTCTAAGAAACAATCTCCACGATACTCAGCATGCGAAGCACAATAAAAACAATTTCTTACCAAGTTCCAGTCAACATTTGAAGAACTTATCCAACGTGATCTCTCACGTTCTCTTGACAGATTGCACATGAACGAAATTGCCACAAACATCTCACGCAGCAGTGGACTGCTTTCATTTCCCTCCTGCATGATATACCGACGCAAAGTTTCAATGCATTTCCTCGCATCCTGTGTTGTCACTTGCACCAGCTTATTAGCGGTATCATCATTACTTTCTTGGTCTTCCGATGCTGTTGTATATTTCGCTGCAATGATTGCAGTGTCGTAATCTTCATTTTCATTGTAGCATTGAAGCTCGTCAATGGATAAAAATTCTTCGCAATTTTGTACCTGTTGAAGTTCCACATGTAAATCATCATTTGCACTTTCAATGAGCATGTCCACATCCATCTCCAAAACCAAGTGCTTAAAGCCACAGTGAGAAAACAGTTCTGAATTGTCTCACTGCTCACTTTTCACTGTCGGCCACAAATGTAACTGCTTGTAACGCTTCCATTTTTTTTAAAGTTCCTCCTCGTCCTTAGCATTGTGCCCATTCTTCTCACAGCTCATTCTCTTGTTTTATCAAGTGCAAAATTGTAGTCTTTGCCAACCCGGTTATTTCCACCAACCGATGCTGACTAGTATTTTGTGGTTGTTGCTTGATGTTATCCAGGAAACCAATTTTTTTCAGCTAACGTCAAGTCCCATCATGGCATTGTGGCAGGGGAGACAAGACACGCGCACAGTTTACTGACTAAAGTGATCTGAAGAAACCTTGGTGTTTCGGGCTCAAGATGTTGAGGTCAAGAGGGAGATAAAATGCTTGCCATTCAAAGCTTTGGCACTAAAATCAAACCAAAAGGGGATGAAATGATAGCTTTCTCGTGTAAACTTTAATCATGATTGACAGGCGGAAATTCCTTTCAGGTGGAGCCAGACACTCTATTGTTCATTTCCTCGAAACTCGGAGGTGCAGGTCAAAGAAAATGGTGTGTGTGTTCACCTCCCACCGGTTTTGCTTTTGTCATGCACTTTAAGGAATTCCTGACCTTTGATAAAGCATTTTCCTGGGGAGCTGCAATTACAGATCCTCCTATATGTCGCAGACCGCCTGTACATCCTCTGTATGTCTCCGACTTGTGGCTTATGTTCCGTATTCGCTCTCATGTTTTTTTTTTGTCTGATTAAACAGAATTTTGGTCAAAATAAGCAAATAATAGTAGGCTTATGTACATAGGGTTTTTTTTTTTTTTTTTTTTTTTTTTTTTGGTTCTTTAGGATTTGGTCCAAAAAAGCAGCTGGTCCGTTTATCCGATGGTGCAATTAACCGGATTCGACTGTACCTCTTGTATTAATACCACCATATCTTATAACTTTCTCCAGGGCTAAATTAAACAGGAGGCATTCCAATGCATCCCCCTGCCTAACTCCATAGCAAACCTTAAAGGTGGTAGATGTTTCTCCTTGAACTTGTATCTCACACATGGTTTCGGTTAAAATGAGTCTCACAAGCTTAATTAACTTGGTTGGAACTTTGAACTCAGGTATGCCTTTTAGAATCTGAGCTGTATCAATGGCACCATAGGCTGCCTTGATGTCAACAAATAAATGATGAATTCAATTCCATACTCTTTAGAGTTCTCCAGTATTTGTCTCAAAGTAAAGATTTGATCAACTGTGGATCTTCCTTGTAGTCCTCTATAATTTTCCCAATTCAGTATGTTCCCCCTTTTGTGTACTATTTTAAATAACTGAATCACATTTTAATCATTTTGATGAACATTTCTATGGTATTTTCTATGACAAAAGTTTTGTTATAGCATTCCATTACGCATTTTAGAATTTAGGTATGATACTCTACATCTGATTTATCATTATTCACAGCAGTAGTCATGAAGTAATATATAAAAATATTCAGATTGTTTATGATGGTGAATTGAGTTTATATTGCATTTCATGTGATACTGACTATAAGTATTTCAAATTATTTAGGTTGTTTTAGAGCTTATAGAACTACGTGAGCTTGGAGCAGCACGTTCCTTATTACGTCAGACAGATCCTATGATAAAACTGAAACAAGAAGAACCTGATCGCCATATCCATCTGGAGAATCTTCTTGCACGTTCATATTTTGATCCTAGAGAAGTATGCTTCTTTTATTTAACAAATTGTATTTTCTCTCAAAATTTGTTTGCAAGGATATATTTTGCTTGCTAATTATTTAAATATGTTCCATGTGAATAAGTAAAAGAATTCTAAATGAAATTTGTGTTGTAGAAAATATTTATACTTTACAAAACTGACATTTCTTATTGTTTTTTGAAGTACAGAGTGAAATTATGATCCAAAAAATTCCTGAAATTATGATCCAAAGAATTCCTTTGTGTGAGGATTATCAATCTGTTAAAAAATTTTTATATATTTAAATAATTTTAGTGAAATTATATGTAAAATTGTAGTATCTCTTGTATAATATAACATGAAATGTAACAAAAAAGTGCAGCTCCACCAGAAAAATAAGGTTACAGAGCAAGTCTATTTAACATTGAGGTAAATCGCTTTCTTGCCAAATTTGGTAACAAAACACCGAAAGACGTCAAAATTTGCGACCTTTTGGTAATTTCGAGAACTTGAAAGTACTGGAAATTTCTTGGCAGCCAAAAACTATGTAAAACCAGAGAAAGCAATACTTCTTAGCTATTTAGTTCAGACATAAATTTGGAGCATTGAGAGGTCTCCGTTGGAAACTTTGACTTTTAGATGCACTTTGCATTGCATTATATTTAACATTCTTAATTGCATTATATTTAACATTCTACTGATTGTGCTCTGTGATACTGAGAAGAGCTGTATGAGTACTTTTGTGAAAAGTTCCAGAAATGTAAAGTGTTTCTTATGGGAAAATAAATTTTATCAAGCTATCATCTGTTCTGTGTGCATCTAATCCATTTAGAACCTATACGCACATAACATGTCCTGTGCTCTGGAAAGCTGTTAGACTGCTAACTGAAAAAGAAGGATAATATGTGCAGAAATTCACAATCCTGAAAATTTTAAATTTTGAAAGAAACTCCATTCTGATGCAGCTGTTTCGTTACTATGGGAGTAATGTTAAAAAACTTAATTTCATTTCATGGCTTCAAGGAAAAATCTTCTCCTATAGCTTTAAGAAGAAAAGTTCTTATTGAAGTTATTTCTGGTATTCAAGGATTTGAAAGTTGAAGTTAAAAAAAAAAAAAAAAAAAAAAAAAAAAAAAAAAAAAAAAAAAAAAAAAAAGCCTTAAAGAATTAAGAATGATGGAAGCTCTAGGATTTTATCACGTCAGAACATTTGCTCAGTGACTCGAGGAATGAATAGAAAATATTGGAAGTAAGGGTGGCTACATTGAAGGACTAGATTGCATTGCATGAGTTAATAAGTGTAGAATTTTATTTCACTGTGCATTGATAATTCATTATATGTCAGTGTTAGGAATTAGACTGAATTAATTAATTATGCAAAGCACTCTAGAACTATGTGTAAGAAGATATGCTTTTTCTATGATTCTTTTATAATGCATAGTTTATCCTTAGATTTAAATGACTTCACTCGCATGGTAAGATGTATATCCTGTTAGATATTTTTGATATACAGTGAAAATCTTTTAAGACGAAACTGAGGGGACTGAAATATTTTTTTGTGTTAAATGATATTGAAAATAAAACATGTTCAACAAAATTAGGTTTACTAGAGTGCATTTTATTTACATAGTTATGTATATGTGCACTTATTTAATAAAAAATCAATGAAACAAAAACATCCACAAGAACTTGATGAAATTTAATTCAAAACTTTCAAGTTTTTTGTAAAACAAAACATTTATTGCATTTTTGGAAAATAATTTGTTATTCTTCTTTACATTATCTGTTTTAGCATCAAATTTGTAGCAAAATTTTCAATGTCGTCCATTTTGTTATTCGTTTCACCATTTTAAAATGTGCGTCTAACTAACTGCACATTCTTTTTATGATGTTCCTCATTTTGGAGGACATGGGAAAAGAAACTGCATTATTCATTTCATTTTCGTCATTGGAATCTGTATCAATGATATTTTTTTAGCTTTGAACAAACTCCAAAATGTGTTTGTCTGCCGTAATTGGGGCTATATGCACATTGTCATCAACTACTGTAACTAATTCTTCCCATAATACAGCAGGACAGTCCAATAATACAGAAACTTTATCAAACATTTCATTAAATGTCGGCTCAGTTTCAATTGCCTCCTTCTCCATTTCTTTTGGCGCCAAAGAATCTGATACGTTTGAGAATCATGCATAACGAAAACAATTTTCATTCGTCCTTGGAGTCACTGAATTCCATTCAGAGTGCAACATATGAAGAGACAAAGGCATGCAAATTGCAACACATGAACCATCTCACAAATTTTCACTCACACTGCGATGTACTCGTCACCGAATTTCAAAGCCAACTGATGAGAGACGAATATTTGTGTGGCGTTTGTAGGGGTAGAAGGTGAAAGTAGTTTAGATAAACAAAACTGGCTCGTGTCACAGGCTATTCTGAGGGGGTAGAGTAGACTTTAAGGTACCCCTTGTATTATGACGAAGTTGTTTCATTTATCGCCAAGTTGTTGTTTCATTTATGGTAGCCTGAGTAGTTGAATGTTATGGAAACCCTATTGTGACGTAATCGGGTGCATGATTCTGGGAAATTTTGAATCATGGGATGTTTTGTAAACGTTTTTGTGGTGTGTATTAAAACCATTTAGATGGATTTGAATGGGTTTGTAGGAAGAAAGGTTCAAATGGTCACTATGTGAAGCGTTCGATCAGAAAGAGTACCTGGTTTGAAAAAAGTCATTTGAGTATGATTGATATTTTGATTTTTACGTGGCTCTGGGTGTACGAAGCGAATTCGAAAATCATGGTAAGTGAATATTTGCTTTTGGTAGTGCTTAAATGTATAACATGTTTTTCCTTTTTTATGTTTTTTTATTGTTTGGTTTAAAATGTATTTTATTGAGATAATGTATTTTTTGTTTGCCTATATTGTAGACTTTGATGCTCTTTTAGGCTTTGATTCACTTTTTAAGTGAAAATATATGGATGTGTACATGGACAAAGTAAAGGAAGTGCGCAATGCCAGTTTGTGCAATTCTGGGATTTTTTTTAAGTGAAATAGGTCAACATGTACATGGATAAAGTTAAAAGAGTGCGCAATGCCATTTTTGTGCAATTCTGGGATTTTTTTTAAAGTGAAAATAGGTCGACGTGTACATGGATAAAGTCAAAGGAGTGCGCAATGCCATTTTTGGGCAATTCGTGGGGGGGGGGGGGGGGGGGGGGGGTAAGTGAAAATAAGTCGATGTGTACATGGATACCGAGTTTGTGCAATTGTTTTGTCTTGTTATTTTGGTTTTGTGTAGCGGCGATTTTTGGAGCAAAAATTGTCAAAGCATTGCACAAAATCGGTATCCATCTACTGCCAAAAATCGCCAAGTTTCGCCAAGGGGTACCCTAAACTATACTTTTACCATTCTGAGGGTATTTCAAAGCCAAGTTAGCCTCCTTTCTACGACACATGTGAAACCACTTCTCTTTCATTTCACACCCCTCTTAAATCTCGCATGCAAGACCAGTGTTTTCTGTATTTTTTTTTCATTCTCACAAAGGATATCTTTTTGTGTTAAGCGATTTTTGTTTCATGTTAAGAAAAACAAAATGCATGAAAATATATATGTAGTTTGTCAGGACTGTTGTATTATTTCACGTTAACCAATATTTCGTCTTAAGCGTTTTCATGTGAAATGTATTTCACTGTACTTATTAATGCAACCACCTTAAAAATCACCAAATTTTTAGAAAGTAGTAAACCGTGGCAAATTTGCATATAACAGTTCTTCAGACAAGCAGCATTTTTTCATATGTGTTCTTTTTTTGTGTGTTCTCAATTTTAACCATTTCCATCCACAAATTATATTTTTCTCCCCTTAAACTCAGTTTTAAAATACCTATTAATGATGTTCATCTGCAGTAAAATTTCTGCAAGAATGCTACATTTTGTTCCAAAAAGCAATCATCGCAAAATTTTGATCAGATCAAAAGAAACAGAAAATTTTATTTAAAATTAGTTTATTGATTGATTTTCACACTGCAAACCTAATAAAAATATAACATATGTGTTTAATAATATGTATGTATGATACAAATTTTTTTTTTTTGCAATTTAGTCGTTATTTTTCTTCTGCAAAAAATTATTCGTGCTAAGATGGCTGTGCTGATATGTAAGCACCATTTTTAAATTCACCAAGTTTATATACTTTTCTCCATGATGTGACTGTAGTACAGTCAAAAGTCTTTAATCCGGACTCGTCGGGACTTCGGCGATTCCGGATTATCGATTTTTCCGGATTATAGATCATCAGTTTAAATCTGGTAAGATGGCATGCAGAAATTATAAAATTAAAAATAGGAAACCGTAATTTATGAAATAAAGAACAATTATGATCTAAAGGGTATCAAAATTTACAAAAAAAAAAAAAAAAAAAAAAAAAAAAAAAAAAGAAGCTTAATATTTATTTGTTTACTTTATTAAACATTTCTTTCAACGCGTGCATGCTTAAAGCATACATTACGCATAGTCGAAATTAGAAAATTGCAACCAGAAAACTATTTGATGTGTTTTCGTGATATTTATAATGAATTTGATTTAAATCATATCAGAGTACATCGAGATGAAATACTACATTTAGTAATGAACTATAAGCCGAATAAAATAAAAACATCTGCCCTGAAGATAAGGATAGTGCTGACAGATCAACTTCCAGTTCATTGCGCACTGCGACGTTCCCCTCAACGCAGAGCAGCGTGAAATTGATAAACAGATTTCGGAATGGTTAAAGAAACAAAGGATATGCCTTTATCCATTTTTTGCAGCAATTCCACTTTTTGTTTGAAGGACATCGAAACATGCTTTCGCTTTGTAGATTTTTTGGCAGTATCCAGCATCAGAAATTCTATTTGACATAATCGAAAGTTTAAGCTTAATTTTATAAAATTGCACTAACAGTCTGCAAAAAATAATAAGCCAGATCCAATTCGAAGATTAAGGAACAACGCAATCTGCAACATTAACTGAAATAGATAATTAGATAATTTGAGCCTAGCTTATACCGTCCGTTATACATTAAATGCGCATGTGTAAACGCATTATGCACATGCATACACGCATATGCGCATGCGTGAACGTATTATGTGCTGACACATGCACAGAAAGTTTGTAGCTTTGAGGTCCGGATTATAGATCATTCCGGATTATGGGCATCGGAATTAACGACTTTTGACTGTAATACATACTTTTATTCAACCCCGTTTGAAAGAATTTTGGATACTTTCTGGTTATCAGCACTGTACTCCTAAAAAAAGTTACAAACTCACTGCCAACTTTATAGAGCATTTACAAACATTTTTCCATCTAATTTTTCATCAAACTATGTGCAAAAGGCAGCAGCCATTTTCAAAATGGTGTTGCACATTTGTAGAGTTGCCAACTCTCTTGATTTGCGACCGCTCTCCCGCCAACCCGATTTACAATATATTTCTCTTGATTTTTATGGAACTTGGCTTAATACTTCATTATATGAACAACAACAACAACAACAACAAAAAAAAAAAAAAAAAAAAAAAGTGATTTCGAGCGTCTGAAAGCAATTGAATTTTCTCTAGGTTATATCTAAAACACAGTCATGAAAGTTTTCCGCGTTTTGGCGGAATTCCACTTTTTTTAACATCACCTGGGCTGTTTCTGAGATCGATGCAGAACCGTTGAGAAATCGTGACCGGCAAATGTCGGGGGGAGGGGGGTAAACAGAGGAAATGCTCTCTCTCTCTTCCTCTTTTTTTTTTTTTTTTTTTGTAAAAAAAACTTTACATCATGCCAGAGATTGCAATTTGTTTCACATCAAGGCAAAGTAGGTAGGGCTTATGTGGAAAGGCAGAACTAGATGAGTACGAATATCGAATCAAAGAAGAGCAAGCAACCGTCAAATGAGAGCTGACTTCAATAATTTCAGCGATCAGTGCTGGCGCTATCTGTCAGACATACGGATACCCTACTGATGTTATCCAGAGCACGTACGAGTTTTAGTGTGTGTAAAGTGGCATACTGTAATTCGGAGCATAGATCATTATGTTATTTCTTTTTTGTTTGTTGTAAGTTTTTCAGTATGACTATCTTAAATGTGAATCATGAGCACAAAGCTCGGCGTATAGATAGTG